TAAGAGGAGATGATTTTTTAAGTTTTCACTATATACATATAAGGAAAACCTATGGCCCCCGGGCGGGGCTAATTTTGACACTAGAAACAAAATTTGAACAACTTTGGTAGAGTACCTATAGATATCATTTAACAAATATTAAAGCTCTAAGCCTTGTACCTTCAGATAAGATTTTTTGAGTTTTTTACTATTATGTATATATTGAAAATCAATGACCCCCGGGGCGCGGTCAATTTTGACCCCAGGGCTATAATTTGAACAATCTTGCTAGAAGTTCACTTCTCAATGTTTCATGCAAAATATCTAATCTTAAGCATTTGTCAATTGCTAGAAGAAATTTTTTAAAGTTTTACTATAAGTTTTTACTATATACATATAAGGAAAACAAATGACCCCCGGGGCGGGGCAGATTTTGACCCCAGGGCTATAATTTGAACAATCTTGGTAGAGGTCTTCTAGACAATGCCTTATGCAAAATATCTAAGCTCTAGGCCTTTTGGGTCTTTACAAGAAGGTATTTTAAGTTTTTACTATATGTACATATAGTGAAAATCAATGACCCCTGGGGCGGGGCCGATTTTGACCCCAGGGCTATAATTTGAACAATCTTGGTAGAGGTCTACCAGATAATGCCTTATGCAAAATATCTAAGCTCTAGGCCTTTTGGGTCTTTACAAGAAGATTTTTTAAATTTATTCTTATAATTCCTTTTGGTTGCCATGGCAACCAGATTTCTGCATGGAATGTAATTCTTTGAACAACTTTGGAAGCCCTTCACCCAAGGATCAATCCTGCCAAGTTTGGTTGAAATTGGACTAGTGGTTTTTCACAAGAAGATTTTTTAAGTTCACTATATAATCTATATAACACACACACACACAAACAAACACACACACACACACACACACACACACACAGAGGTGAATCGCTATATGCCACCGCATCGCAGATGCTGCGGTGGCATAAAAAGAACACGGATAAATATGCCTAAATTGATTTATCATCATTAAATGTGACTAAATTTGACACTGTTCAATATGTCTAAATTTAACATCATCATATATGACTGAATTTGACAATGATCAAAATGCCTAAATTTATCCTAATCACAAGCAAATATGAATAAAAAGGACATTCAAATTGCCTAAATTTATCATCATTAAATATAACTAAATCGGAGTATGATCAATATGCAAAAATATAACATCATTCAATATGACTAAATTAAACACCAATCAATGTGGCCTTAATTCAAATATGACTGAATTTGACACTCTTCAATATGCCTAAAACTTTAATCATTAAATATGACTAAATTTTTCTATAAATATAATTATATTTAACACCATAAAATATCAATCAATCAAACAACATAAAACATGTATATAACATAATATTACATCATTAAAAATGATAATTTGCCATTATTAATTGCGCATAAATAACCTAATTTTTCATGTGACTAAATTATTCATAATATGAAAGGATTAAATTGAATACCATCTTGGAATAAATTGAACACATCAGATGTGACTTCATTGATTAAATCATGAATAAATATGACTAAATAAAACATACCTGGACTTAAAATAGGGAAAACAAAATTTTTTTAATTGAATTCTAAATATAAACTTTAAAAATTTAACAACAATTGTACATTATTAATCATAATAAAAAGTAATTTGGAACACATTTCTACTTTTCATCACCTTAGTGCAGTAATGGCTTAACTCCTATTAGATTATACAAGAAAAAGTACAAAAAAAAAATAGTCCATTTTTTCAACATGCAATTGATATAAGTAGAATCGTAACATTATGAAAAATATTGAAAAAAAAACTAAATATTACAAACTTTAATTGAGCCAGATATTCGTTATAAATGAATAAAAAAAATCAGTAGTGACTTGACTTTAAATTTTGATTAAAACTCATTCAAAAATCTAAATTAATATGTTATTCTATTCTAGTAACTAGCAAAATATACAAATAATAACAAATGCTCATAAAAACTGAATAAGAAAGATAAAAATCATGAACAATTCTTTCTCAAGCAAGTATAAGATCTAGTTTAAAGGAGTTCAAACTAACTTCCAAAACCCTTAAGACATAAATTTGAACATCTTACAAAGATCTGATAAAGAGAAAAATCTGTAAAGGATATGAAAGAAATATACAAAACTTAAACTGAAAATCAATTTTTTAAAATTGCAATTCTTAGCCAAATTTAAGTTTAAAGTGTTTAAGCACTTTTCAGTCTTAGGTATTTTTTTAAAAATATTCTAGAAAAACAGAGTGAGAAAATGATCTGAAATTTTGCAATCCAGACTATTATTAAATGATACACAAATCTTGAAAAATCTGTCCCTTCATGTCAACAAAAAAGGCTTTTTCTCTAAGATATAAAATACAGGTAAGGTGACAAATTGAACAAATAAACAACAATGTTTCATAACAAATAACTATGTCCCTACAAGTAATCTCCCTTGAATCTTCTTGAAATTAACCCTAAACCTGCAGAATTTGTATAATGGAATTGCCCAGCTTTGAATTTGGACCAGCCAATTGAACTTTTAAGGGATTTCAATATAAAAATACAAACATTTTAGCTGCCAACAGTATAGGGCCAGGTCAAACTGCACAAATGTGAAAGCTGATTTGGCATTAAGCTGGTGGCAAAGGTTTATTATATTTGTTTCCATAAGGATATGGGATAACAAGGAGAACAAACTACATTGTGTTGTCGGAAAAACGTCAAAAGACTGCCATTTCACAGCAGTAACGCATCCCAAGGACCCTCAAAATTCACCAATTTAGGATTCCCATTCCTTTATGGTAATTTGGTGACTTTGGTTTAAATAAAACTTAATCTTATGTTTTATTTAGGCACTATTTCTATACAAAATACCATGTATACAGGCTCTACAGTTTTATTTCTAAGGTGGCTGTCCATGTAATAGAAGCCTACAACTGAAAATTATGAACAATTCATTATCGATAACAGTCACTGAAAATATGTTTCCACATGACCTGCCACCTCTTAAAATTGTCAATGGATTCCAAAAATCTCTCAAACATGGGAAAAAATTCCTCTCTGAAATTCCTAGGGAAACCCCCGCAGATGTGCAGCCTGGACTGGCTCTATACCAGTGGCAAAAGATACTCACTTACAATCCTAGCAGGCTAAAAATAACTGATACACAAAATACATGTTGTAAAATTTGTAGAACAAGGGAAGTAACTCTTATCATTTAAATATAAAATATTCTTTAATACTATAAATATAAAATATTACCATGTTAGGATGAACAGCAAGGGAAGTAACACTTATCACATAAATATAAAATAATTTTCAATACAGTAAATATAGAATATAACCATGCTGGAATGAACACATCCGTCAAGAACCAAAACATTTAAGTTCACAACATCATAAATCACAGCATGGTGAAAATAACAAAAATAAATTTAAAAGTGCAGTCAAAATTCAAACACATGAACAAATATATAAATTGTTAATATAAGCAAGCAAACTCTTTTTTCAAAATGCAAACCATAAAAAATTTAAGTATTGGGTTTAATATTTAATTAATAAACTTCATAATAATGTTAAAAAAAAACAGCTTTGGTTTACTTATCATAAATCGTTATAATTAACTATGAGGTAGATAGGGATATTTGGCAAATTTTTTCTATTATTTCCCTTTTTATCAGTTATTTTTTCCCCCAATTATTTCATTTATTATATACTTATAAATGAAATATTGAGAAATATTGATAAAATAAAATGCGTATTTTCATTTTCCGTATTTTTACTGTAAAAATTTATTTTTCACTGCAGTGAAACATATTTTCCGTATTTTCACTGGTGTCTTGCCGGACTACTTTCTTTTAAATTCTGCCAGTACACAAAATTTAAGGAAAAGTCTTTCAAATTTTAATGTCAAAAAAAGAAAAATGTATATAATAAACAGAAAATTCAAGTTTTTTCTATAAATACATGATTTATTTTCATCTTGTGGCATGAAAATTACCATATTTCACTCGTGGCTACCGCCACTCATGAAATATTTATTTTCATACCACTCGATGAAAATAAATCATGTATTTATAGAAAAAACTTAAATATCCTCTATTTAATATGCTATGATGTCTTTTATTTTGGCAGATTTGGATATTTACAAATGTAACTCAACAATAGACTTACTCCGGAATTAAGAATATTTAGGTTTTTTCCAGGTAATCCAGGTGTACATACAAAATTTTACAGTTAGAGCTTCGAAAAAAAAAAAGCTCAACAGATTGACCAATCTGTTGTGACTGGTAGTGCACTGTGAAGCTAAAAGTTTGTTAGTACTGGGGGATTAGCTCGGAAAAACCCACATTTTGCTAATTTCAGGATAACATCTATTTTCAAGTAAACCCTTTCTACTTATCTCCCTTTATATAACTTTATAAATTTTTTTTCAATGCAGAACATTTTAAAACTATCTTATAATGTGCACTTATTCCTAGTTGTCTTTAACTTTCACGCAGGCTTGGATATTTGCCTTAAAGGGAAGTAATCAAAATCCTGTATTCACTTCCCTCATTACATCCCTTTACAATGATTTACCATATTCACATGAAAAAACAACAGTCATTTTTATAAATATTTACAATAAATAAATATTTACAATAAATAAGCACACTACCTGATAAGACATCAGTATTGTTTTATATCTGATTAACAACATTATTCCAAGACAAGATAACTTTAAATCTTGCTAAAAATATTCACGATGTGGCAATAAAATAACTTCAATTATTAGCACCATGAGAATAAATTTTGTATTACTCAATATGTAAACTACAACATTTATTTTCATACTTTCTTGAAACTGAGTAATTAAAATTGAATAATTGAAGTTGAATAACTGAAACTAAAAAACTGAAACTGAATAAATGAACACAAAATAAATTGAAACTGAAAAACTTAAACTAAATGACTGAAACTGAAAAACTGAAACTAAATAAATTGAAACTTAAAAGACTATAACTGAATATTTGAAACTGAATAACTGAAACAGAATAACAATAAATCTAACAAAAACAGTAGCGCCCATCTAATAATGCCTTTTTCACAGTAAATATATTGTTATGTAAAACAATATAAAAAGTTAAATTACTGTTGTTATTGCTGTTGTTTTAAACATGAGACAAGCAACAATATGTATTCTACATGTATTACAAATAAAAAAGCAATCAAATTTGACTTAGCTAACAGACTAGCAACAAAATCGAGACAAAACAGGATTTCTTCTTTTTTTTCAAAAAATGAACTAGAAAGATAACATCTTTTAAAGTAATTTTCAGTTGTTTGGCTAGCATCATTTTGTGTTTTTATCTTCAGAAGCAATTCTCATTTTTAATGATCAATGTTGTACAACATACTCAGTTTGTTTGATTATTTTTTTTCATTAACTTTTTGGGGTTGGGTTTTAAGTCCCACTTACACTATACAGGTCATATGGACTTTTTTAAAGCTTTGTTAGTAGAGAGAGACACCAGGTGCCTCTCCATGCATTTTTTCATACACTAAAAGGTAACAAAAAATGTATCTGAATAAACCAGTATACCAGCCATGACCTACATGTAGTATGAAAGAAATGTCTTGCAAAGGAAAGAGCCTTGCAAAGTGGAAGCCCCATATAGTGAATAATGAATCATTTTGCCTATATATGGAAAACTTCTGGATATATAAGCTTAAGGCTGTTTTAAGAGTGAATTTTCAATATTTGTGGAAAATCCAACTTATATAACTCTGTCCACAAATTTCAATGAAAAAGCTATAACTTATTTTGGTGCGTAACGTAAAAATATGCAAGAAAAAATATAAGATAAAAAGCCTAATTACTAAATCCTCACTATGCATCAATACAGCAAGTGGTACCCGGCATCAATTAAACATCCTTTGCATGTCTAAGAGCCAGTGGTTCCCGGCATCAATTAAACATCCTTTGCATGTCTAAGAGCCAGTGGTACCCGGCATCAATTAAACATCCTTTGCATGTCTAAGAGCCAGTGGTTCCCGGCATCAATTAAACATCCTTTGCATGTCTAAGAGCCAGTGGTTCCCGGCATCAATTAAAACATCCTTTGCATGTCTAAGAGGCAGTGGTTCCCGGCATCAATTAAAACATCCTTTGCATGTCTAAGAGGCAGTGGTTCCCGGCATCAATTAAACATCCTTTGCATGTCTAAGAGCCAGTGGTACCCAGCATCAATTAAACATCCTTTGCATGTCTAAGAGGCAGTGGTTCCCGGCATCAATTAAACATCCGTTGAATGTCTATGAGCCAGTGCTTCCCAGCATCAATTAGACAGTGGTTCCCTGTCAGCTGGACCCCATTCCCGCAGTACAACCATAGCAGTGGTTATCCACGGTAATTTCTGCTCCCTCTAAGTCAGAACACGATTCTATGTCATATATAGTTCTCTTACCTTGAAAAAAGAGTAGATAAAAAATTTACTAGTTTTAAAGATATATTATGCTCATCTTTGGGTAAAATATTTTTATCTAAGAAATATATTGAAATCCATGAAATTCTTACTGAATATGTTTAATTTGAATAAAATAATGAATAAACTATATATGGGAAGCTGTGTTCCCTATTACATGTCAAGTAAGAATGGTCCTTTCTTGAGAAGGCTGCCAGTTTTTTTTTAAATGACGTTATATATTCATATTGTGACCACCTATAGTGTGTAGAGTTCAAAACATTACATAGCTACTTAAAATGAAGTTGGCAAATGTTTATTTTATACATACAAAGAGACTGTGTAGCAATAATCAATTTTTTCAAAAATAAAATTTGAGCATAGTATATCTTTAATGAATACCAAGGTTTATCATGTTTATATACTGGTATTTCTTTACATACCATGGTTTATTTAATAGTATACCATGGTATTTCATTACATACATGTACCATGGTTTATTTATTGGTATACCACGGGTATTTTTATACAAACAATGGTTTATCTAGTAAAGATATATATGATGGTTTATCTAAATGCATACCATAATTTAGCTAAATACCTCCCATGTTTTTTACACTTGAGACAATATCATTTAAGATTTAAACTTTTCCTGCAGAAATAAAGACTATCTGTCTGAGATAATGCAAGACAGAAATGTAACTAAAGAAATTTATGAATAAATAATTGATATTAAACAGGCAATGTAAACACTAAATAACTGACTGACTTTTATAAAAGTGCATTGCAGGGGTGGGCCAATCACTATTGTTGTAAGAACTTGGGCAGGCCCTTTAGCTTTTTTTATTTCGAAATCAATTTGTTTCTCTGTATATTTACATTTATACATGTATATTAGCAATTAAAAAAATGTTTAAATATAAAATTGCATTAATAACATTAACTCTTAGCTTACTGGCAGGTACAGAATCTACCAATGTGACCAGTGCCCACCAAGATCAGTGGGCATGTCCTAGTTGTTCTTGGATCATGGTCTGCATTGTTCATTATTTAGTTAGTACATATATTTACATTTTCCATCAAAACAATGTGGTGGCTGAATTGTGTTATGGTGAATTCAAAGTGGCCTACGGTCATGATCTGGAGGTTAAACTACAAACACCACCATCATGTTAAGAGTTTCTTTCAGCTTTATATTCAATTTACAATATTTTAATATTTTCAAGCACAAAGAATAGGCCCGAACCTGAATCTGCTATCCTTAGGTCCAACTGCTGATTAAAGTCACAATCGTACAAATCTCCGTTCCAGTTCACGCTCAAGTGGTTACGACACATTGAACTGTCGACAGTATCCAGGTTATAGTTCCGTACCAACAGTTCCATGTAGTCATTTAACTCATTTCTGTAAGTAAATAATATTCTTAAGTTACATGAGGTAAATGTATGAGTGATCAGGACCTGGCCTTAAAACTTATCTCAGAGTTCTGTCTCAAATCACAGGATTTTCATTGGTCAGTGTACATTGTGTGCCAGTTTCTGACCAATCAAATACCTGAGATCTGAGTTTGAGCTAAGAACATTTCTTTATAACCTCATGCCGAGGGCTTTTTTTTGCACAAATATGGGTCCTTCCTTTAGTTTTTGGGAAAAAATAATATCATGGTATTTTTGCAAAAGAGGAAGAAAAAAAATTTGATGCAAACTGAACTTTAGAGGAAAAACTACCTGGTGTTAAAGAATTTTCTAGAAGGGAAGCAGCCTACAAACGGTCCCTGGTTTAGGATGAAAAACATTTCTGTGGACTAAAATAAATTGGGGTTCAATGGCAATCGGCTGTAAATTTTCATCAAAATAATCAAAGTTTTGCCATTCTGTTTGAACCACATAAAGTAAGTCTTCCTTGAATTTAGCTTTTAACCAAAATGCCTTGAGAAAATTCAAGAATACATTACAACCTTAAAATTAATGGCATCTTAATTGCTTTAATATTGAAACTTTAGATAAACTGAGATTCACCTTCTGTATAAAAAGTCAGCAAATCTTTTTATAGGCATATTGGTGACTGTAAACAATCTGTTGAAACATATTCCAAACACTGATTGCAACTCTTCCTTGTATTTGTCTTCCAGAGCCTGTTGTGGTGGAGGTAAAAATGCACCTGAAAGGATAGATCTTGTTCGTTCACAGGATAGTTCTTGTAATATACATGTAGTTAGTAAAAAGTGATCTCTTACAAAACTGGGTGATTTTCTTTGAAATGTAATTTACTTTAACTGTTTTCAACATATTTGAAAAGGGCAAAACTTAAGCTCCAATAAATTGCTTCTATATATGACCAAAGATAAAATACAGTGTAACACAAGCATGGAGGCCCTCTGTACAGCAATAACCTAAGGACCGTCTGTAGAGCAATAGCCTCAGGCCCTCTGTAGAGCAATAACCTCAGACCCTCTGTAGAGCATTTACCTCAGACCCTCTGTAGAGCAATAACCTCAGGTCCTCTGTTGAGCAATAATCTTAGGTCCTCTGTTGAGCAATAACCTTAGTTCCTCTGTAAAGCAATAACATCAGGTCCTCTGTAGAGCATTAACCTCAGACCCTCTGTAGAGCAATAACCTCAGGCCCTCTGTAGAGCAATAATCTCAGACCCTCTGTAGAGCATTAACCTCAGGCCCTCTGTAGAGCAATAATCTCAGGTCCTCTGTTGAGCAATAACCTTAGGTCCTCTGTAAAGCTATAACCTCAGGTTCTCTGTAGAGCAATGGCCTAAGGGCCCTCTGTTGAGCAATGGCCTCAGCTCCAATAAATTGCTTCTATATATGACCAAAGATAAAATACAGTGTAACACAAGCATGGAGGCCCTCTGTACAGCAATAACCTAAGGACCGTCTGTAGAGCAATAGCCTCAGGCCTCTGTAGAGCAATAACCTCAGACCCTCTGTAGAGCATTAACCTCAGGCCCTCTGTAGAGCAATAATCTCAGGTCCTCTGTTGAGCAATAACCTTAGGTCCTCTGTAAAGCAATAACCTCAGGTCCTCTGTAGAGCAATGGCCTAAGGGCCCTCTGTTGAGCAATGGCCTCAGCTCCAATAAATTGCTTCTATATATGACCAAAGATAAAATACAGTGTAACACAAGCATGGAGGCCCTCTGTACAGCAATAACCTAAGGACCGTCTGTAGAGCAATAGCCTCAGGCCCTCTGTAGAGCAATAACCTCAGACCCTCTGTAGAGCATTAACCTCAGGCCCTCTGTAGAGCTATAACCTCAGCTCCTCTGTAGAGCAACAATCTCAGACCCTCTGTAGAGCAAAACCTCAGGCCCTCTGTAGAGCAATAACCTCAGGCCCTCTGTAGAGCAATAATCTTAGGTCCTCTGTTGAGCAATAACCTTAGTTCCTCTGTAAAGCAATAACCTCAGGTCCTCTGTAGAGCAATGGCCTAAGGGCCCTCTGTTGAGCAATGGCCTCATGCTAGGGGCCCACTGTAGGGCAATAACCTCAGGAATTCTTTAGGGCAATAACAGAATGAATCATTTCCAAAGCAACACATAATAAATTAAGCCTCTCCCCAGTAGAGCCACAATCAAAACCTTTTTGTACCAAAGTTTATACTGTACTGCACACAGACAAAAATTGTGTTATGGCAACATATATATTAAACAGCTGTATTTCAATCTAAAACTCCTTTGTTTCTCTCTTACCTAGTGGATTATAGACAAGATCTAGATGCAGTCCTGTTCCAGGCTTCCCGTAGCCAGCCTCATTTAACATGAGCAATGCGTGTATACTTCTGTCAAACACTCCACTACCTCGCTGGGTGTTTACATTCTTAGCACTATAACACGGCAGAGATGCTGCAACATGCAGTTCATTGTCAGCAAAGAATTGAACTGTATCCTCCTGACCTAGAGAAACAAAAAAAAATAACTTTTGTCATATTTGAAAAAAAATAAATAAAAGGACTGCAGGCTCTATGCTTAACTATTACATGTATCAAGTGTTCTCCCTAAAGAGCCAGTGAAAATATTTTGAGAGAAGCAAGTAGTTTAGTACTGCCGTGTAAATTTTAAAACAATTTTATATATCATGGTTCAGCAAATTCAGATGGCAATATATATATATCTACAGCTAGGGATTTCAATGATTTATAGAGAGCACAGACTATTTGGTACATGCATTTCATAACCTACAATTGCAGTCTAAACTAAAGGCATTTTATAGATCTTAAGCTGAGATGTTTTCAGGGCTGAACTACTTAAGAAAGAAGAGTTCATACAGGTTCATAATAAATCATACAGCTTCTATCCCTGAGTGGTTAGGGTCTTTGACTTGCCCCACACAGCTGTGGGATTGAATACCACCATAGACTTTGGATTTATTCATGTGAGGAAGCTATCAAATAGCTTACAGAATACAGAGCGTCAGTGTTGTAATCATGTTGTATGTAGGTTTATACTTTTGAATTCTAAAAATATGTTAATACCTGGTTCTAGCAATGAGGTTAGATTGCTCCTAACTATCACAGATTTGTTAAGCTGCCTTCCGGCAACAGCGAGATGTCGGAATTCATCATTCAGTTCCGGTGCTCCACCTGTTTGCGATTTAAAATAAATACAAATTTTAAAGTTATTTTAGTTTGACCCTTAAAAATTATTCTTAATTTTAACAGCAGTCAATAATGCAATTCTTCTAAAACTGGCATATTGCTTGATTTATACATGTTACAGAGTAAAATTATCTCCATAGTTTTAACATTTTATTAAAATTTCATAAAATAATGATTTACAATAATTCTAAATTAATGTTACTGACTGTACAGTAATATTCAAAAAATATATACATGTATGTACATGTAGCACTAATCAACAAGATAAACAACTAACACAAGTATCATTTATCATAAAGTTTAGAAAAAATATGAGAAAACAATTCCTAATCCTCAATTTGTAGGCAATTAGGCAATACCTGTGATATCAAGGGTGTGAACATTGGGACTATTTTTCAGCACATGAATACATCTTTCCGCTGTCTGCTTATTCATCATTTCCTTCCTCCTTGGTGAAGATTCAACATGACAATGGTTACACGCCTGATTACAGTACAGCCCTATATTCACTTGCATCAACTCTACTGTATTCTTCCTCAGAATCTTGTCTTGTACTGGAAACAAGTAAAGGAAATACTTTCAGGAGAGAAGATTTGTTTTATATACATCAAACAATATTTGCTTTAATCTGTAACAAAGGGCAATAACTCTGAATAGAAAACAGATATATTAGAACATTAAGGGCAATAACTCAGAACAGAAACAGACATATTAGAACACTAAAGGCAATAACTCTGAACAGAAACAGACAAATTAGAACACACAAGGCAATAACTCTGAATAGAAACAGACAAATTAGAACACAAAAGGCAATAACTCTGAATAGAAACAGACAAATTAGAACATTAAAGGCTATAACTATGAACAAAAACAAACATACCAGAACATTAAGGGCAATAACTTTTAACAGAAACAGACATACTAGAATATTCAGGGCAATAACTTTGAACAGAAACAGACAAACTAGAAGATTAAAGTCAATTGCTGTGAACAGAAACGGACATACTAGAACATTAAGGGAAATAACTCTGAATAGAAACAAACATATTAGAACATTAAGGGCAATAACTCTGAACAGAAATAGACATACTAAAACATTAAGGGCAATAACTCTGAACAAAAACAAACAAACATATTAGAACATTAAGGGCAATAACTCTGAACAGAAACAGACAGACAAATGGTATTGTCTAGATTTAAAGATGGACAAGTCCATTTAAGATATTTAAAGCATGGTAAGGATTTTATCATTTATATTATTTACAGTTTTTCTCAGAAGACTTTAAAACTCACGATTTCCTTTGAAATGCTGCTTTAAACTTTCAAGCTTAAATGGACCCAACATTTCTTTTGAACCATCCATGTAGGGGACAAGAGTGACTTAAAACATAGTAACCTTAACCACTTGAAAATGGATTTGTTGTAAAAAATATGTTAAAGTAATTTAAGTGCCAGTCAAATAAACTAAATTTAGACTTTTATGATAAATACAAATATACATGTATAATAATACCCTCTATTCCTTGCTCTAACTTTTTTTCTTTCCAAAATTCCAGGAAATCGGGTATTCCAATATAATCTAAAGCTCTTTGCCTTTTCTTCCTTTCCTCCCTAGTTAGTTTCTTTTGCCCTAATCTTTTCAGTTCAGCTGCTGTAATCTTGAACTCTTCATTTTCATCCATTTCTTTTAATGTATCTGGGATAAGTGAAGTCTGAAATTTAAAGTGAATCAATGTTAACTAATGTTTAGATAATACAGAATTTATATAAGTTTAATAAATTGAGTAATAACTTACATGTATATAGGCTTATAGACACACTCTGAACCAACCAGTTCATATTATGTCAGAATGTGTGTGACCTTTTTCTTGCTCAGAGTGGCGGCGTGGCTGAGAGTGATTAATGCTTCAAACTAGTATTCTAAGGATTGCTGACCGTGTTGGTTCAAACCCTATCAGGTGCAAATCGTTGTTTCCTTGGGCAAGAAACTTAACTCTACATTATTGTTTTGGGGGATATCAATGTCACAGGGTAAGACAAATGTGCAGCCTGACTGCAACTCCGGACCCAGGATCCTCGTAATACCGAACAGCGGCTCTACCGACTGGGCTATCAAACCATTTACTCACTATCTCCCCTAAATAGTGAACAGTTCTGAACCATGAAATACTCCCCCGCTATATTGAATTTCTGATGGGTACAGAGAACAATGTGATATACCATCACGGTTCCCCATTGGGTGCCAAATGTCACAAGGTGAGAAAAATGTGCAGCCTGACCGGGACTTGAACCTGGGACCCTAGGAATACCATAATGCAGCTCTACGGACCGAGCTATCCTGCCGCTTACACACTACCTCCCCTAAATAGTGATTAGTTCTGAACCGTGACTTGAAGATGAAAAAAAGTCAGCCAACGGTATAGCCCTAGGCCAGACTTCACAGATCTTGATGTGCAGGCTGGCCAGGCTATATACTGGTGGCAACGCAGGGCGGCCAGTCTCTTTCGGTTCCAGCAGTGAAAGGGTTAAATTAGTATCATGATATTTGATTAGCTCTTTATCTTATTCTGATAGAACATTCACTTTAATACCTTTGTTCTGGCTTTCAAATCTAACAGGCCTTTCCATTTATCCTTATCATGGCCTGGGCCTGATGATGCTGGCTTGGCAACTGGTCTGTTTAATTTGTGCTCATGTACATTTATATCTGTATTGTAGTCTGGCAAATCTGGGGAACTCTTTGTACTCCATTTTCTCATTAGACATAATGTGCTTGAATTTTGTGACAAGCGTATTTGGCCTATTGATGATGAGATCTTATGTCTTGCAAAATGCATTTCTCCAAGAATTTGTAAACATAAGAGTTAGCTCCCTTTTAGTCGTATGCCTATCAAAAGTCAATAAAATATTTTTATTTCGTAAGCATTAAACCATCACTTGTAGTCCCGTTTGTATTTCGATATTAATGCTAATATTCCCTTCAACCAAACATGAGTGACACTCCCTGTGAATCTTGACAAACTCGAAAATAAACTTGCAATCCGATTTCCGTACTATGCTTTGTGTATGACGTCATCAGTTCGTGTGTTCGGAAAAGTCTTCAAAGCTTGTTTGTATTTTACAATTTTCTCCTTTATTATTTTAGTTTTGTACGTTGTTTTATACGTTTTTTTTAAACGCAATTTATGAATATCGTGAATCTTTACAGTACTTAATGTTTAACATGAAAACTATACAAGATACTGACATCTTTGTACTTGCATACAATTCGGATATCTTCAATTCGGACTGAAATTGACAAGGCAGCTACTGAGCCTAGGGCACTAGCTATATTGTTGTATACTGTATATGTTTTATCATAATACTATTGAAAGAAGTCAATACTAAACTTTCCTTAGGTTTATCAATATCCGACATGAAAAGAATTTTAAATGATATCTCATTAAAAATATCTCGCTTTTCAGTTTTAACTTGTTATTCTTGATTTATTTTATAATTATAGAAGTGTTTATGGTTTATTTTAGAAACTGATTCAGAAGACAAATCGGCATGCCTTGAAATGATGATATATTCTGTCTCAGAACAGTGAAAACAGAGTGACAAAAATGAAAGGGAAAGGTAAAGGGGCCCAGGACAAGGAGTGTCCGTTGATGTTCCCTGACTTAGAAATTGTTGATCATGTGAAACAATGTCCAAGATATACAACTAGTAAGTATGAATCATTATAATTTATATGTGTCATGGTTCAGAACTGTTCACTTTATAGGGGAGATAGTGTTTAAGCAGCCAGATAGCTCAGTCGGTAGACCCTAGAGCTGTGGTTCAGTATTAAGAGGATCCTGGGTTCGAGTCCCAGTCAGGCAGCATGTTTTCGCACCATGTGACAAATGCTTAATTCTTAGTTTCTTTTCAGGTTTGTTTAAAGGCTGTTAACTGGCTATGTTTAAAAATTGCAAACTTCATTCACTTTCTGCTGATTTCCCGTCTTTAATGCACACATAGGTTTCATTCACTTTCTGCTGATTTCCCGTCTTTAATGCATACATAGGTTTCATTCACTTTCTGCTGATTTCCCGTCTTTAATGCACACATAGGTTTCATTCACTTTCTGCTGATTTCCCGTCTTTAATGCACACATAGGTTTCATTCACTTTCTGCTGATTTCCCGTCTTTAATGCACACATAGGTTTCATTCACTTTCTGCTGATTTCCGTCTTTAATGCACACATAGGTTTCATTCACTTTCTGCTGATTTCCCATCTTTAATGCACACATAGGTTTCATGCATTTTCTGCTGATTTCCCGTCTTTAATGCACACATAGGTTTCATTCACTTCCTGCTGATTTCCCGTCTTTAATGCACACATAGGTTTCATTCACTTCCTGCTGATTTCCCATCTTTAATGCACACATAGGTTTCATTTACTTCCTGCTGATTTCTCGTCTTTAATGCACACATAGGTTTCATTCACTTCCTGCTGATTTCCCATCTTTAATGCACACATAGGTTTCATTCACTTTCTGCTGATTTCCCGTCTTTAATGCACACATAGGTTTTTATTGAGAATAGGAATTTCTTACAAATTTTACGATAGCTTAATAATATAATTATATACATTGTATGGTAGGTCAGGAATTTTAAATAAAATAAGGACTAGGGGGACATCAAGATTAATATTTAAAGTAGACAGCCATAGGTATAGATAATAGAGCTTGGTAGACTGCACAGCTGTGCAGGCTGATCCTGGTCTATACTGGTGACATAGCCTATGATAGGTCAATCATTTTCTGTTCCAGCAGGGAGATGGTTAGTGGGCAAGACTGATAATTTATCAGTGTTTTACAGTCAACTTTTGAAACTATTATCCACTGAAGAGTTTGATTGAAATTTGGTTGATATCTTTTAATTTAAAGTTAATTTGACAAATTTTATGATAGCTTAATAATATAATTATATATATTGTATTAAATAAAATAATTTATGTATTGATTAAAAAGTAAATTTTTAAAGATAGTGACTACTTACAATGTACCAAATACTGAATAACTCAAGACAATATTCAGACAACTTTATCACACTTTAGTTTAAAACTAAAACTTAAAGTGATCTGAATAAAAGTTGTATTTCTGTTTTAGTTTTGGGGCGGGCTGAAGGGGAAACTATTGGTCTGGAAGAGTTGGACGTGATTCAGGGAGATTTGGAGACGCTGTTAGCAAATGCAGGAAAGAGACTGAAGGTTTTGGAAAATGAGATGCAACTACTGACAAATTGGCAGGAAAAGTCTGGAGAAATTAAACCTGTTGGGAAAGTGAAAGGTGGAAAAGTGGTATGTTCACATTGATAAGTAAAAGAGTCATCTCATATTATAATATGATATCAATATAAATATTATGTGTTACTACTGTCTTTCTTTTCATTATATGGGCTTTTGTACCAGGCACAGTTCAGAACTGTTCACTATTTATGGGAGGAGCTGTGTAAGCAGCTGGATAGCACAGTCAGAAGAGTGACTGGAATGGTAATCCAGGTTTAAATCCTGGTCAGGCTTGACATTTTTCTCACTCTATGACATACCTGTAAAATAAAGTCCTTTTGCTATTGCAACTTTTATTTCCTGGCTGAATTTGTGAAATGAATTTGTTATGCTTTGAATTTAAAACAGTCAAAATTCATATGATTTTAACATTGAAATAAAAAAAAAGAGCTACCAACATTATAGCCCCTGGTCATACAGAAACCTAATCACTTTTAGTTCCAGGAGGGGTAAATGTTAAGATATTTTGCTGTAGATATTATTTCAGTATTTATCGTACCTATGTTGTAGAATCAGCTAATGTTCTCTTTTATTCCAGCAACCAGAAACACCAAGTAAAAGAAGTAAAATAGCAGATGATAAACCTAGCAAGAAATTTAAAGAGACCAGTGGAAAGGCATCAACTGTGACCTCTGCTGGCAAATTGAAGACAAAACTGTCTCAGGTATTCAGTGCATACAATCTGACTAAAGTTCAGATCTACTTACATTTCTTACATGTAGATCTGATTACCATCATGTATGTTTCACCTTCATTGTGATTCGGATTTCCTGATAAGGCTATTTTATAGCCATGCAAGCAAACTGGTTTTTACAGATAGGCATTAGAAAAAGTATCGAAATATATCGTTGTCCATGGAAGTTAAACAAATTGTTGATTTTTGATAGAAAAAAAAATTATTACAAGTAATTTGAAACAACTAGACTAAAAATGATAGACTCAATTTTTAACGGGCAAGATTGTTTTGCCAGTTTATCTGCAAGTTATATGGAAAACGCAGTTTTTGTTCTCTCAAAATCATGAAAATTACCTCCTCAGTATGGACCTTTCCGGTTTTTCGTAGCGAAACATTTAGCCACACCTTTTCCATTCATTGCTAGGTCAACTGCTTACAAACAGTATCACAAACATAAGCACGTGTTCTTTTGTGCAAACCAGGTCAACCAGTGACTATGTATTGTCTCACTGTAGCGATTGGATAACAAGTTAGTCAATTTACATAAAACTGTAAACACCGGAAAGGTCCATTGGATTTCCAGCAGTTAAAATAAGAAAACGCATCTCTTTCAAAATTGTGAAATATTTTTGTTTTGCAAAAAAAATATTTGTTTCTTTTATTATAACATTACCTAGGTAAAACCACCGGATCATGTAGATCACTTAGAACCGAACCCAATCGAAATCCCCAAACTCCCGAAGAATAATGCTGTGAACAAATTCTGGACGTCCGTAGAACCTTATTGTGCGGACATCACAAATGATGACATGAAATTTCTTGAAGAAATTATCAGATCTCATGAAGATGACGCGGACTATTTTAAAGTGCCGTCTCTTGGCATGCATTACACGGAGAAGTGGGCGGAAGAAGATTTGATTGAAGAGCAGAAACAAGGTACATGGGAATATGTTCTGATTAAAGTGACAGGCTTTTTGTATTGATAGTAGTTCGTTATTTGTTTTGTAGATCTAACAGTCATAATAACTGTTTGTCTGACCAACTTTTAATATTTTTAATTTTCATCTTGATATCCCTAAAATTGATAATGCACAGTTCCAAAAATTAAACTGGACAAGTCCATTTGATAAATTCAGGAGGGTATGGTTTAAGTTAATGACTAAAAATATGAACATGTAAATACAAGCAACCATCCAAGCAGAGCTAGACTTTATTCTTGAAAGTGGCCCGGGCACCAAAACTAATAAGATACGCTTAAGACAATTTAATAATGCTATGTATACATCCGCAACATATCCGCAAATACCCTGAAAATGTTGATGAATATAATGATGACGACGACAATAATGATGATGATTATGATGATGATAGTGATGATGATGATGATGATGATGATGATGATGATGATGATGATGATGATGATGATGATGATGATGATGATGATGATGATGATGATGATGATGATGATGATGATGATGATGATGATGATGATGATGATGATGATGATGATGATAGTGATGATGATGATGATGATGATGATGATGATGATGATGATGATGATGATGATGATGATGATGATGATGATGATGATAGTGATGATGATGATGATGATTATGATGATAGTGATGATAGTGATGATGTTTAAAGTAGACTGCCAGCAGTATAATGTCTAGTTAGACTGCACAGCTGTGCAGGCTGACCTTGGTCTATACTGATGACAAAGACTTATCATTTCCATTCCAGCAGGGTGAGGGTTAGTGGGCAAGACTGATAGTTTATCACAGTGATTTATAGTCACCTTTTGAAACTATTATCAGCTTAAGATTTTGGTTGAAATATGGTTGTTATCTTTTAATTAAAAGTTAATCTGAACTTCTGAAGGTGATTCATTTATGTATAAATAATAAGTTGCATTATTTTTCAGGTGCAAAGATCAGTGATAAAAGAAATGGAGTTGCTGATACCAATGGTGCAACAACCTTGCTAAAATCTGCCGAAGTTGGGTAAGTTTGGACAATTTAAACCAAATTTTCCTCTTAAAAGCCTGTATGTTGTAATTAAGGATGTAACAACACTTCTAAAACAATTTCCATACATCCAAGAATATGTTAAATATCTACTGCAAATGTTTATACGCATTATAAGTACATGTAATCATTAGAATATATGCAGTTATTTCTTATTGAAAAATTTGGCTTAGACTTTATCGAAAATAAATTTCTAATAATCTCTCTTTATTTATATGAAATGTAAATTTGGCAATATCTTTACAAATAATGCTTTTTGGAACTTACAGTATTGATAAATCTTCATTTGAATATTTATGATATACAACCATAAAAAAATTGAGCCGTAGGTTCTTTAAACAATTTCACAGTATCTTTAAAGGCACATTAAGCCTCAGATATGAATAAATTTTTCATTCTGTAGAAAAAGGGTAATGTGTTTAATGATGTAACAATGGATATGGTACATATGAGATATGAAGTAAATTGTGCTGAATATAATAATCTGTCATAAAGGAAGCACAGTGGTACATGTCACAAACACTTCGGATGTGGATCTCCAAATGCCTTAAAATCCAAATAAAATGTATATTTGTTAATCCCGACACATATACTTTTCATATATTATAATATATGTCAAAACATCTTAATATAAGCTGTTTTGAAAAAAATTTATATTGCAACTAATTTACTTCTATTATATAGTATCCCAAGTGTCTGTGGTACATGTTTGTATTTTGATTTCCATACATAAAAACTAAATTACTATAACTGAACTAATTGCCAAAAACTAAAAAGGAGCAAAAGACTGTTCGCCCATCTTGCCAGTTAGTAATTTAGTAACATTTTGGAAACTGTAAAAAGAAACCAAAATGTTTTATAAACACAAAACAGAACATATGTACATTGTCAACGTTTGAATATGGACACATGAAAGTATGAACAGAATGAATACAAAAAAGTATGGACTACTTTGAAAATTGGTGAATTGTGTTGTTGGACCACCAAACCCCCCCCCTGCAAAATTAAACAAAGGGGAAAAGCATTAAATCCTATCTAAAGTTTATATACTGAAATACTTATTTGATATATAGGCTACATGATGAGTCACCTTTTGGACCCCTTACACAGAGACTTGTATCAGCCCTTATAGAAGAAAATATAATGACACCTATCGATGATGAAATGGACGATGTTTACCCGGAAGATGGTATGTATTTAAAGAACCTGTATGTTGTAATTTAGGATGTAACCTACAGTCCAGAGAAGTTTTATAATATGTACATTATATGTTATTTTGGTTTATGAGTGATATATGTGGATATATTACCTGCCAAGATTTTATATCACCCGAGCCGTTAGGCAAGGGTGATATTTTATCTTGACAGGTAATATATCCACATATATCACTCCAAAACCAAAATAATAATTTTATTACCCTTCCCTTGCTGAGTTTAGACGATTTTTAAAAAAAAATCATTGCTGTTTCAAATGAAACGTCAAAATAAGATTCCCTTTAGGGTACCCCTTCATCACAACATGACATCACTTAAATACATGACGTATTTTTTTCAGTACCTTACGAATGTTAACAAAAGAAAAGGAGTAGTCTGTTGAACGCACTTTTTTGTAATTAAAATCAAGCTTTCATGAGGTCATATTTGTTTTCAATACTGATGAGAATATGTATCATTACTCTCCTTTGGTAAAGATTTATTATTTGACAGTTAAAATGTGCTTGTATATCAGAATTTACACCGCGTAAAATCGAACCGTACGCGCATTGCCACAGCGCATGTTGTTTACAACGTGGGGTACTTAACGGGGTAATTTAGTGTGTGTATATTACCCGTCTGGCTCGGTTATATCAATTTCTTTCGGGTGATCAATATCCAATCAAAAAGGCGGAAAAAATCTGGAAGGGTAATAAAATTATTCTTCTAAAACAATTACCAAACCAAATGTTACATATGTACAGCAAATGTTCATGTCCATTATAATTAAACATTAAAATTAATACATTCATTCTTTATTGAAATAAAACTTCCTTAGACTTTATTGAAAATAAATTTCTAATAACCTCCCTTTATTTACATGAAATGTTAAATTCGGTATGCTTTTTGAAACTTACAGTATTGATAAATCTTCATTTGAGCATAAGATTTATGATATAAAACCATAATAAAATTTCCATTACACTAAATACAGGATCTTTAAAATATTTACAATTGAAGATGGAATGTTAATTAAATGTATGCTTATGACTACCCTGAGCTTGGCACCACCTATTATGTTAATTGTTAAAACAACTGCTGGAAATGGTTCAGGATACAGACATACATGCCATAACGTCCCGGATGTCCGGGATTGTCCCAGAAATAAGGTATCTTTCCCAGAGGTGTCCCGGAGATGATTTATGTCATGTATGGTACAGGGCTGGTACATTTTATAATAAAAGGGGCATACTAAAGCTAGTATGCTGTTAAATGTCAAAACAAGTTTATTTTCATAAGTTTCTATAGGTTAAGTCAAGTGATAAAAATATTGTCACATTAGTTGTCATATAATATAAAATTTTATTAACTTTGTCCAAATAAATATAAAGCTGACCAGTTGTTTGAGGCTTGCTTTATTACAATTTAATTGAACTTGTTTAATAAAATTTTATATATTATGGCAACTCATGTGTGATGATACTTTTAACATGCTCTTGGATTATTTATTTTTCATTTAAGCATAATTATTACAATTGTTGTTTTTTACATTCCATCTGCTTTTCGGTTTGTCCCACTGTTCTTGCTTCATTAACTCTCTCAGAGTTCCAAAAGATTATTATGAACTAGAATAACAACAAATTGTTTTATGAACTAGAATAACAACAAATTGTTTTATGAACTAAAATAACGACAAATTGATTGATGAACTTTCAGAATCCCTCAACGAGTCTGCAGCTATTTCACCAAAAGAATTAGCCAAACAGCTGAACCTTGGTAATCCCTCCCACCTTGAGAAAAGAATAAAGAGAGAGCTTGAAGAACAGGGTACTGTATTTACTCAGTTATAGGACATAATTTGTTTCCTTCTATTATAAGGATCATACTATACACCTAGTCTTATAAGGGGGATGAAGAAAGTCCTTGGAAAAAGTAACTATTAAAACAAGTTTGTGTTAAGAGGGTTAAACTTACCACCTTAAGTTTTAATACTAATTAATTTGATTATTACTTTCAACAACATTTAAAATGATGACATTTGAAATTTAAACGATGGCATTTGAAATTGGACATCTTATATTGGATTGAATGATAAAAATCTTAAATCTGATTTGCAGCAAAAATGGATACTCCTTACTTAGTTTGATATGATATGGTTTTATTATCTTGGAAATGTTTTATTGGAAAGAAAAGGATATTTGATATTACATGGGTATAAAATTAAGCGAATACTTCTTAGAACGTAAAGTGTACTTTCTATACTTTCTTTACCATACAGTATCTTAAGAATGTCTCTACCATACTGTTTTATACAGGAATTTTAGATTTTGAAGAGGATGATGAAGATGATGAAAATGACGAGATTTTACGGGAACTTCGAGCGAAACAGGCGGAACTAAAATCTGTGTGTCAACATAATTTACTAGCAACTAAAAAACTTTACAAGTTAGCAAAGGATGAAATGGCCAAACAAGAACTGAAAAGAAAGCTGGCTCTATCCGACTCAGAGGTATGGGGTTTTGATAGATTGAAAATTGGGTTTACAGATTTTTATAATGGCATAATCAAAGTAAATGCTGTAGTCATAGAAAGTTATGATTTTTTAATCGTAACAGATTGGTTTATGAAATGGTGATGACTCTGTGATTGACTAATAAATGAAAAAAAATTGTTCCAAGGATCATTAAATACTGTTAAAACTTGATTAAATCATTGTATTAACGTAATCAGTAAATATACCTGAAAGAAATGCTGTTATTGAGGGTTGTTTTTGTTTATTTGGTTAAGATCCCATCATTCCTACAAGTTTTAATACTTATATTGTATATAAAATTCATATGCAGTATAGGTCTAATTCTTTTGTTTTGGCTTGTGCAGATCAATTGTTAGGTAGGAATAGGTGGAGGAAGACTATCACTCTTTGGCATAATTGTTGATTAAGGTTTTCACCTGTCACTTCATAAATCTATACATGTTGAAGATATTCAATTAAGCTTCACTTATGTTAATTTCAGTTAAAAACCTCTCACTATGTATTTTTTTCGGTGCATGGTTCATAATTGTACTTAACTGATCGATATACATAACCTAAGTATAAACATTGACTTAGTTATTCCCCTTTATTAACCAGGGAAATGTATGCAAGCTTATTTTCTGCAACTACTGATTGAATTCATTTGAAATTTCACACTGTTCATAATTGCGATAATTTATGTTTTGATTAAATACATGTAACAAATTATTCCCTTCAGGTGATGGATGCCTATCGTAAAGTACAACTAACGAAACAGAAGAAGAAAACACCGACGAAGAAAGAGAGAGATGCAGTGATAAAAGCTCTGAAAGACAGGGAAGTCTTAATGAAACAGATTGATATTAATGTATGATGAGATTAAGTAGATGACTTCTTGAATTGGTCTGGCGAAGAAAAACCAGTGTTTCATCATGTGGTGTTACCATGAAGAAAACGAAAATATGAGCCTTCAGACCTGAAGAAAAGTATTGTTTCTTTACAAGTCAAGGAGTTAAGATAATGTACAACATGGTTTGAAGGTGAAAAAGTTAATTTGTAATTTTCTTGGTGGAAAAAAGAGGAAGGTGCCAAATATTAATTGAATTATTATATAGAGCTGAAAGTTATCTTACTATTGGTATGCGTTAAATGTTAATGAGAAGTAAAAGATTGGGTGAAAAGTCATTATGAATAAGATGTTTGAAAACACCTCTAATTTATCACAGATGTCTGGGGTGAAGGTTAAAAAGCCAGTAGCTCTATCACTTGTCAGTGAACTGTGTATGCAATTTATATTTTATGTAATAGAAAGAGGGTGTAAACACAAGCTAATCTGATTTGGCCCACTTTTTAGTTAATGCATTGTACTGTATTTGGCATACAAATAATTATCCCAAATGTAAAGGTTATTCAGCTATGATACAAGGATCATTATCATATTTAACAGATTAATCTGAACTTCCCTACGTGAGTTTTGTTGATCTTACCAGTGGTTCTACTCAGGTGCCTGTTTGTGCCTGAAATAATATACAGAGGGGCACCTGAGGTCTTCCTCCACCAGTAAAGCTAGAAAGTCGCCATATGACCTATACCGTGTTGGTTGTGGTTAAACCCAATCCAGAAAAAAATGATATAAAACAACAACAAAAAAACCCCCAAAAAAACCCCGACAAACGAAACAGTGTTTTTGTGTTTTAGCTGTTCCCATGAAAGTGCGAAAGGCTAGCTCAAGGTGTTGATGGTCCTACTCAGTTTTGCGCTTGTGACTGTGACTCAAGTTCTCGTATTCATTTAGAGACCCAGTTAGTAAAACTGGACAGTTGCTACATGACCTATGACCTTGACAATGTTTGTTTGACGAGAAACACGAATAAATAAAATACTGAAACCCTCTTTTTCTCTGCACACTCATACTGAAGAGAAAATACCCACTATTATCATTTTAAGTGTTATATATTTCTCTATGTTAACTCTCGGACTTTAATAAAAGTATGTGGTTAACTCAATTGTGTTCATATGTTTTTGTATAATTCTTTTTATAATTTTATGTACATTGTCATTTTAATTTTGTATTAATGAGAATAAACTCTTAAAAGAAAACATGTTTTATTGTGTGTGTGTTTTTTTTCTGCATGGAGATAAATGGTTTTAACACCTGCTTATCATTCGAGAGTTAGATTACGGAACTTCGGTGGTTCTACACCGGTGCCCGTTCGTACCTGAAATAATGTACGGAAGAGCAGTTGAGGTCTTCCTCCACCAGAAAAGATGGAACGTCGTCATATGACCTATATTGTGCCGGTGTGACGTAAAACCCAATAAAACAGTTCAAATTTCGCCGTAATGAAAGACCGGTTTACTGAATCTTTTGGTTTTTAGGTATCTCCCAGTGATTGCATACACCCCTGAATCATGTGGAAGTAGTCAGTCACAAGTGTAGAAATTGGTAATTGCGAATTAGTTTTCTAGGAAAGACGGTTAGGTGGGTTGACCGGTCACTGCCGAAATACAGACCAAAATGTGTTGAAATCTGCATTAAAACGATTCAAACGTCATTTTTGTGCAAGTAACCCTCTATGTAAAGCTGTTGTAGATGTAATACAAACTATGACTGCTTCGTTAACGTTTAATGAATAGAAATAGATATTTTTTAGAAAAAAAAAAAACATCCAAAAAAAAAACAGTTGGCGGTAATGTAATCTTCACTCTACTATGTTGATTTTTATGCCTCCACAAAGTGGGGGAGCATATAGCGTTGCACTTGTCCGTCCATCCGTCCGTACGTCCCGAAATCTTGTGAACGCAACTCCTCTTAAACCGGATGGAAGTTTTGCTTAAACTTCCAGGGATGAACAACCTTAATGTGTAGATAGAAGTAAAGGAAGGAATTTTTGCTGCGACCAAATTTAACAGAATTATGGCCCTTTGTTGATTTTTATGCCCCCACAAAGTGGGAGCATATAGCGTTGCACTTGTCCGTCTGTCCATACGTCCCGAAATCTTGTGAACGCAACTCCTCTTAAACCGGATGGCAGATTTTGCTTAAACTTCCAGGGATGAACAACCTTAATGTGTAGATGGTAGTAAAGGAAGGAAGTTTCGCTGCGACCAAATTTAACAGAATTATGGCCCTTTGTTGATTTTTTCACTATATACTATGTAGAAATTTTGTGAACGCAACTCCTCTTAAACAGGGTGGCAGATTTTGCTTAAACTTCCAGGGATGAACAACCTTAATGTGTAGATGGTAGTAAAGGAAGGAATTTTTGCTGCGACCAAATTTAACAGAATTATGGCCCTTTGTTGATTTTTAGTTTTCAACTTGTGGCACATGTAGTCCAAAAAATATTTGACCTAGAGTCATAAGATTGACAGAACAGTGGCATTTGGGGGCATCCGTGTCCTACGGACACATTTCTAGTTTCACTATATACCATATATATGTTGTCAGTGGGGGCATCTGTGTCCTTTGGACACAGTTCTAGTTTTTATCATATATGGCACACATTCACATTTATTTTCTTAATGAGCGACCCGGGTTCGAATCACATATGGTGAAGGTAATTTTCGCTGTTATAGATAATGAAATCCTTTCTACGGTCATTTGCACTGTACCTCTGCTCTGGAATATCCAGAAACGATGGGGTGGCTTACAGCCGTGATCAGGTTAAGCTATCGACAAAACCACTATTGCATTAATTTCCATTTTAATCAAACAAAGAATTCGTACACTATTTCATTTCCATTAAAAGGCCTTTGACAGATTAACTGTCCCGTATAAACGCTGGTTTGCTTTTTTTGTTCTGTTTGGCTTCAGATAATAACAACACATCTAATATTATCAAATATACATTTTTTATTTAAAACTTCACCTAAAACATGTATAAAGCAATAAAGAAAGAACAATGCATTTTTCATAATAAACATTTTCAAGCGAACTTATTTGTACATCAGTTAGCATACTAGTATCATATTTTTTACACAAAATTGACCATATACTTAATTGCACGCATGTCACCGATCACTTTTCTGGGAAGAATAAGGATCGAACATATTTATAAATAATCATGCATAAATAAGATATATATAAATGTACATAATAATGGGAGGAACACAACAAAAATATGAATTTGTTTTGGCAAAAGTAAAAACAAACTAAAAACAATGCTGATAATACGTTATTCTTTGGTCTCAACAAGTGTACTGATTAATTCATGTGTTCTAAAAAAAACTAAATATACTGATCAATATCAAGTTTTTTACCTTGATCCTTTTGCAGTATATATAAAACCGATTCTATAACTAACTAAAAGAGGAAATTTTAATGCTAAACAATTACTAGCTGTATATCGAAAAGGCAAGTTCTACATAAAACATTGACTTTCCGTCTCAAAGTTAAAACGAAACGTTATTATAAAATGAAATATGAAATTATGTATACGAATTCAAGTCATGGCAAGTTAAGAAATATCGCGATTCAAATGCGTACATGTATACTGGATTAGATTAAAACTGAACACATGATTGGAAAACAATAAAATCATATAAAAATATGCATGTATACAATGAAGTTTCATAAAAAAAACCACTATTAACACATTCTTTTAACTTCAACGGACAACCTTAAAGTTCACTGTTGGCCCATGCAGGATAGCTGTAAACACCGTAAAAATCTCTGTATATTGAAGCCAACCGGAAGTTAGAATGATATCACACCGGAAGTAAGTGAAATATTCAACAGGAAGTTTATGTCATGTAAAGCAAAGAAAATTTAATTCATATACAAAAATAAAACAAACTTGGCTGTGAAGTTTGTAATGTACATAGCTCTAGTTACGTAGACTTTCTTTTACTATTTACATATCTTACATTGTGTATATAATGTGTAAAACTATATCACAGTTTCTTTTTACGTTTTACGTCAAATAGCCCAATTTCTTTTTCATTGCAAAATATCCAGCCAATCTGCTTTCCGCATATTCCTGCAACGGAAAAAACAACATCACTCGAATAAATATTTTGACAGTTAAAAGAAAATTAGAGAACAAAAATACGTTCAAAAATACTATGGAACTGGCAAATTGTTGAAAATATTCGATTGTAATAAAAACTTGAAGTTTTGTTGCACCCCATCAGAATAGTATAAAGAACTGGTATCATTTTAGGACACATTGATGTAATACCTTTTGGGTTCGAACCGGCAAACTCGGCGTGAAGAGTAAGGCACAAAAGCACCACCATACCACGCACCCTGAATAAAAATTCCATCCTTATACAAGTTACTGCGAGCATTTTAGTTTTTAATGAAAACACATGTATTTTTAACTCACCAAAAATCCGAACTGTATTGTCGACATTTCATTTTGTAGAATTGACCAAAGGCCCCACAGGAAGTGAGACGCAAGGGCAAAGGAAGTGAGACGCAAGGGCAAAGGTATTGGCCTCTATGTACATTTTATGAAGCGTAACATCGTCTGCATCACAGTGTGACGCTTTCAAATAGGCCTTGAAAAATTCGTACTGAAATGTAAAATAACTTACTTAATATAGATGTTACCATAGCAACAAAAATGGGAAAAAGATGTCCATATTTTCAACATACAGTTGTATTCTCCTACACACAGACAAGCTGGCAAAGGAAATAAGTACATTTGTATAATATGCCCGTTGTTTTGGGCGAAACAATTTAACTTTTGGTTGTTGTGGAATTCGACAGATGCTGCAAAAATAATCATCGCAAGTTAGCTGGGTTGTCTCCGAAGTTCTTCATATCTGCTTACAAATAAATCATAAAGTTTACACGCCCATTTATTTGTTAAAATCACATGAAACTTGATTTTTGTACACATTTTTATACCTCAGATGCTTTGATGGGGGTTCACACCCACGTTCTCAGGGAGCACGCTTTATTCCTAAAACATAATGCTATATATTCACCTGTTGTTCCCTAGTTGGATAAAAATGTTCGGTATAACTAAAGTAAGGGTACTCTGTTACATTGTAGTTATAACACCATTCCATAAAGTGATTCCCAAAATCATAACCTCTGAAAAGACAAGAGTATTTCAAATATCAATTATTATATACATGTGATCAGAACCCGGGAACGGTACTGCAGATTGCGGCGCATATTTCCGTTTAACAACGTTTCTCCTAAATCTAAATAACGTTTCGTATTATCCGATAGTACGGCCTCAAAGAATATATCAATTAAAACAATCTGTTAGTTTTCAAATTGGCCATATCTGACGGTATTATCTTTTTTCCAAAAACCGTAAATTTGACCTTTTTTTAAACTAGCATATACATGTATATTAATTTAAATTGAGGTTATATTTTTAAAGACCACCCACTTGGATAATATGAAAATATATTCAAAGGTCGGACAAACAATACGTTAAGCCGGTACACGATCAAACTGCCTCTCAACACAGAGATCAAGAGTTCGAGCCCAATCCTCGGGTCACAACCATGTTTCTTCATACGACACCAGTACTGGTTGGTTGCAGGAAGCGGACTCGAAAGTGATTAATCTAAATTTTGCAAACAAAACAGGATGGAAAATATGCGCCACAATTCTGCGGTCCCGCCCCAAGCTCATATGATAATCATTGCAGTAAAAAGTAACTAGAGGTGCAAGAAAAAATGTTTATACATCTACGTAATACAATTTTGCAAGTGTATGGTACAATAAGCAAAATACTACATGGTGCAAGTTCAAAAATTCTAAAAACCTGAAAACCCTTAATTCAGCATTATTTTAATTTGTTTTTTATAGTAAAAGAGTGCTTTCATCAGTATAAAAAACTAATTTTCTGAAAATCTCTGAAAACTTGTATCCATGAAAATACCTGATATAATGAAACATTTATCAAACGCCCGCCTTTTAGGAATAGTTCGACAATATTCATGAAAGGCATACAAACAAATTTAACAAAACATCCCAACATAAAATATAGAAAGATATTCTTTATTGTTTTAAATAAACGTTCACAAACTTTACAGTAGATATCTTGAAAACGAAATAAAAGATGAAATTAGGAGAAATTCTTTGATTAACTTTTCGCTGTTTTCCTTTGTATGTATATAAAAATGAAGTTATAGAAATTAAGTACAGCCAAATTTGTCTATAACATCCAATCGTTGGAAAATAAAAATCAGCGTTTGCTTTGACTTCCATACAAAATACTAAACCACTATATGTGTGGTTACATAATGCACCCAGGGCTCTCGTTTAGTAAAATTTGGGGCCGAATATTGCCCTATTCCCCCATTAAAATAGTGTGTTTTCCCCCCTAAAAGCAAAAAAAAAAAAAATCCCCCTCAAAAATATTATCTGACTGCCATGGATCAGGGATCATGTTTTAAGTTGAATTTTTATAGAAAATATAAAGATGTATCAAATTTCATAGGAACCAAATATTTCATGACTGCAGCTTATTGTTGATAAATTTGTTAACTGTATCTTGTTTTCACTTGTTTTTAATGAATTATTTTTCTTCTAATGAAATTCCCCCTTGAATGAATTTTTTTTGAAAATCATGGGAAATTCCCCTCCCCCACCTGCATGGACTCTGGCCCCAGTCTCAAAATGCGAACGAGAGCCCTGGCACCGAAAGCAAACTATGATACAAGTAACTTGCCAAGGGGTAATTATTTGGACACGTTAAAAGGACACCAAATATGAAAAGTTTTTGAGAAACAAGAATTAAAAAGATTTATAGGGCAAAATTGGCCTGTAATGGACAAAATGGGCCTTTAATGAAATGGGCCTTTAATGGCAATATCTATTGTGTGTTCTATAAAAAATTACCTATAGTTATAGCTACAATATTCCCAGTCTATGACGGTCAAACATTTCTCCCTATCCGGGCAGTTTCTGTTATACAAAATATTTCCTGGAAAAGAAAACATTTCATTTTGATATGTTTTAGATGAGATATAAAATATAAATTTGCATAATAGTCTATAAGCTAAAATATGAACAATAATAAAGACCAATCGGAATTTACTCGACTATTAGTCCTTATCCGAAGACTGACGGAAAGAGCCGAAAAGTTGCGATTGTAATAAGACGATACCAGGCTCAAAATAACCACAAAATATTTTTACAAAATTAAAACTTGGTCATATTTCAAATTTTTTTCTATTTCATTTAAATTTATATATTCAATATATTTGTGTATCATGTATCATATGAATTAGATAAAGTCTAAGTTGTTTCTGTTAGATAACGCCTCTAATTTATTTTGTCTTTCACAAAACGCGCATGCGCGAGATACGATATCGCATTGCTATATGGAATTACCCTTGTCTTGTATTACAATGTATATTATTGAGTTACTGATTTCTTGTTTTAAGAATTGTTAAAATTATATTGATATTGCAATTTTCACATATAAAATTTGTGTGTCTACTGCTATTTAAGGATTAAGCTTAAAAAAAAATGGCATGCTCAAAAAGCAGGTTTCATGAGCTGCAATGGAGCTGTGTGGCGACTGTCTGTAAAATCTTGTATTTTCAATTGCAGCGTCGTACACGTATATTCCCAGACGTTCGAGATTATCGATTTCAACACTTGTAGTGATGAAAATTAAAACAAAAACTATAGCTGTGGCTTGGGAAGTTAAGAGATATTGCATTTTCATTTCTGCTATGAATTGCACAAACTAGCAGGGCTCGTCTTGAGACTTCCAAACGATTTTATTTCTTATTGGTCACGTGGGATCTATACGGACTGTTCTCTTTTGTATTGTTTTAATATATGTTGATTAATCATGAATCGTATTGAATACAAATCTATTCTTTGACCAACAATGACAAGTTGCCAGTTAACAAGCATTGGCTAGTTACAGTTAACAAGCATTATCTAGTTACCTGTTAACAACTTGAATATTTTCCAGTAAACAAGCCTTGGTAAGTTGTCAGTATACAAGTTTTAACTAAGTGTCAGTTAACAAGCGATGGCTTGTTGTCAGTTAGCAAAAATTGACTAGTTTCCAGTAAACAAACATAACTATCTGCCAGTCATCAAGCTTCAATTTAGTTGTCAGTAAGCAAGCAAATAAACAAGAAATGGATGGTTGCCACTTAACATGCGTTGACTAGTTGCTTGTTAACAAGCACTGACTAGTTGTCAGTAAAGAAGCGTTAACCAGTTGCCAGTTTATAAGCGTTGAGTATTTGCTAATTAACAAGCATTGGTTAATTGCTAGGTTACAAACACTGATAAGTTGCCAAATTCTTATACCAACAACTGGCATTGACTTATTGACAATTTACAAGCACTGACTAGTTGCTAGTTATCAAGCATAGACTAGTTGACAATTTACAAGCACTGACTAGTTGCGTGTTAACAAGCATTGACTTATTGACTATTTACAAGCACTGACTAGTTGCTTGTTAACAAGCATTGACTTATTGATAATTTACAAGCACTGACTAGTTGCTTGTTAACAAGCATTGACTTATTGACAATTTACAAGCACTGACTAGTTGCTAGTTAACAAGCGTTGACTTATTGACTATTAACAAGCATTGACTAGTTACCAGTTAACAAGCGTCAACAAGGAAATAAATGTAAACTTCATCATTAGCTTAACTTTATACAAAGACAGACATATTACATGGCTTTTAACACTTGGAAAGGTGAAAATTAAACATACTATAACCCTAAGCTATGATATACCTTCATTCTGTTTCGGTATATGGACTTACCAACAATTTCAAGGTCATATGGCGACTTTCCTCACAAGTAGGAAGTACAAGTAACTCTGCAACAAAACAACCGTTATGCTGCTTATACCTTAAAACCTGAGATGGAGCGTATATAACTATGTCAATAAACTGCAGAACCAATTACCAAATATGTTTAAATTGCAAGAATCGGAATCAAATTTCCTACATACTCGTCCATGGGTATTCGATTAATCGGTGCACATATCACCCAATGAGACGAAGAAAGAAAATGTATTTTGAATTTACGTATGTATTATTTATAATTACCACATACCAATGATAATTGGTATGAATTTAAGTTAGCTTTGTTATTTTCCGTTACGAATATTTATTTATTCACCCAAGATATCTATTGTCAAGGAGTATTACATAATTTTATTATACACGGAAATGAACGGAATTTACCGAATATTTACGAGTTTATAAAGTAACATTGTTTAAAATACAATATTGCTTTACCTTCTTGGAGATCGTTATGTGAGAACACAACGGGAGATTCCACTCTCGACAGGATTTCTCTAGAAGAAAAACAATCTGGTTAAAAGCTACAACAAAAACCTTCTAAAATATATGATTCTTAAGGTCACTTTGTGCTTAGACATGTCTGTTAAAGGGACTCCATTGAGATTTTTTGACATGACGGGATTGGAAATAATTTTTCGAGATTTATGTTCCATTTGAAGAAGATTGACCCCTCTAACTTGTGTGAAAGTTTTTCCGGTCATTCGTCCGCTCAGTTTTTCCAGAAAAATAATATAATTGTGATGAAAAATGACCCAAAATTAAAAAGCGTTGCAACGCTTTTCACTAAGATGGGACTAACAATAACATATGATATGATTTTCAAGTTATTCTTAGTATTTTTAATCGTCTTTTGCATATCTTTCTGTTTTAAGTGAACCAGCTGATCTTTTGTAAATAACATCAAATTAAAAGTTTTTACGCTTTGGGCCTCATTGGAGCCGCTTTAATACAGATTTCCAATATAAATTTACATAAGAAAATTTCGGGTTCGGAAAAGAGGTTTACAACTAGAAAATAATGAGATTGTGTAAAATAAATACAGGTTAAGACAAAGTCTTACTTTAACGTCTGCAATTCTTGCTCTAAATTAAAGTCCCTAAATATGCGCATGTAATGTTCGTCCTGATCTGAATGCACACTCATTAAAATTCCTTTTGTTTCTTTTAACCATCTGTAAATATAGAAGAAGAAAACTATTTAAGTAATAACAAGATATGTTTGTAAAACATATATGCCCTCTATCGGCAGCCAATTAGTCATGTGATCAGGTTATTATGACTGACTTTTGACCTAGTGACCGAACAATCAATAAGGTTTATCTACTGGTCATGACTAGTCACTAGGTAATTGTGACCACAAAGGTTGTATGCAGCAATTTTATGACAAAGTTATCACAAAGAGAGAACATATGCATAAATTTTATGAATCATGTAGGCATCATTAATGACAGCCAAGTTATTATATTACATAAAACATTGAAATGTGTATACCAAAAGCATTTTTAGTTTAATAAAAAATATCAACCAAGGTAACTTGAGTTGTTAAGTTATTGGTCAAACACAGTCCTTACATACAAGGTAGATATGACATTGACCTTTTACCCTTAAATCAATAGGGGTTATCTACTGGCCAAGACCAATGCACCTGTGAAGTTTGAAGGTAAAGGGCCCATGAGTTGTTGGGATATTGATCAGAAAGCGTTTTTACATATAAGGTCAATATGATCTTGACCTCTGACCCCTTAACCCCAAAAATCCATTGAGGTTATCTTCTGACCAAAAGCAATGCATCTGTAAAGCTTGAAGGTTCAAGGGTCCATGGGTTGTCCAGTTATTGATAGAAAACCGTTTTGACATACAAGGTCAATGCGACCTTGACCTTTGACACTAAATCAATAGGGACCATCTTCTGACCATGACAAATGCATCTACAAAGTTTGAGGGCCAACAGCCAGTAGCTTGTTAAGTTATTGATCGGAGACCGATTTTTCCTACAAGATCAATTTGACCTTGACTTTGACCCATTGACCCCAAAATCAATAAGGGCCATCTACTGGTCAAGTATAATGCATCTATGAAGTTTGAAGGCAAACCGCCCATGGGTTGTCAATTAATTGATTGGAAACCGTTTTTACCTTCAAGGTCAATGTGACCTTGACCTTTGACCTCTTGACTACAAACTCAATAGGGGTCATATGCTTGTCATGAACAATCACCATACCAAGTTTGAAGTTCCCAGTTAATGATCGGAAACCATTTGGTCTACGGACCGAAGGACTGATGAACCGACCAGGACTGATGAACCGACCGACAGACAAATGCAAAGCAATATACCCCTCTCTTCTTTGAAGGGGGGATACTTATGTAAAACATTTTCTTAAAGAACGTTTTTGAATTTAAAGTATTGTTGAATATTGGTCTATCCAGCAACCACAACTATAGAAACCATTTTCCTATTTTAAGCAAAACTGACCTTGATAGATGGACAGCGTCTAATATGGAAATTGCGTATACATATATACGTACTTGTCCATGGTATCATTCAAGAATCTAGGCTCCTTACACAGGGGCATGTCTAGGGTATGAAACAATGCCAATTTTTCCGCTATCATCTTGGACAAGGTCGGGTCGTGCAAATCTTTTGTTGATAAACAATTCGCCTGAAATTTAGTAATTTGTTTACATCAAATCACTCGATAAATATATACATGTATATAACGACACCAAGTCAGCAATTATGACTAATAAGCACATGACAATTTTCATGTACAATTTTCCTATACACCAAAGTCTACCATGGCTAAACAAACTTGAAATATTAAAAGTAACTTGCACACGACTAAAAACGCCATGGTACAGCGATAAAAACCTCTTGTACGAATAACACTAGATCACCAGGCTAAACTAAAGAGGCTTTAATATTTAATCATCTAAGATGATACAGTATGGAATCATTGATATTTAATACGTTCTGCTAGATCGTATTCAGTCAAATAGATTGATTAATTCACTGCAAGGACTTAGCAGTTTACTGAGTTAAATAGCGACTCTGGTTCAATATATATGATTGTGCATATAAACTCGATTAATATAGAATAATTCAAAGAAATTCTACAAAATAAACCAAACACATATTTTACCGGAACAAGTTCTTCAATTCTCGCAGTAGGGTTCATTCCGTGAAGTTTAGGGCCTAGTTGCTTTTCGGACAACAGAGCAAATATCACAGAGTTCTGCACGACAAAATTGCTGGACGTTGCAATGTCGCCATATACACGGAGAAGAACACTCGAGGGCTGATTATCCGGAGCTCGAACACCCGGTGGTAGTGAACATATATAAAGATAATTCGTCAAGCCACCACTGAAAGAAAAAAATATGAATTTCATACTCATACAGGCGTTGCATTTTAAGAAAAAAGCTACAATTTTATTTTTTCGCAGTAAATTTATCATCTTTGGCACTCTGTAAGCAGATATAAAATGTTTATTGGCGACGCCGGTGAGCGGCGTCGTCTATTATGGAACGCTTTTTATTTTTGCCAATGGAAGGAGCTGTTATTATTAGCAGTTAATTTCATGTTGTGTTAATTAGTTTTATTTTGATTCGTAAAAATCAAGTAAACAAATGTGTTATTATATTTGTATTTAATAACTTTTTATAAAAAGCATGTGCATTGTGATATTATTTTCACGAAATTTCAGGTTAAGTTTAACAGCTTGTCCTTTAGTTTTAATGACAATACTAAAACCCGGATTTCGAATATCGTTGTGGTCTAGATTGAGGCCGTATCAGTTCATTCATTCATTTATACATGTTCAAAATTTTCCTACAAGAAGAAAGTTCACCTGCAATTGAGTATAAGGATAGGTAATGGAACTGTTGTAAACGATTATCCTATTGATTTTATCCTTATTACATTTATCTGTTGCGCAGAATGGTTGTTTTTACAAAGTGTACCAGTATCCGGATGTTGAAAGCTATCCGATTTTCTGCAATTACTGCTGACACATGGCCATCTATTTTTTATGAATACATTACCATTAATTTGCATGGCTTGATAAAACTGAACCTGCAGCATTTCATAATTTTGCTGTTTAGGGTGTTCTTTTGGGTTTCAGGTTTTCTTTATTTTAAGGGGAAGTAACTCATGTTTACTAAATTATTTGTTCTTTTCTGTCTATCTTAGGTATTACTTATAATACTATTTTTGTTGTATATAATTCACCAGTTGTAAGGTCATCAAAAGCATGTTAATGTTAGGATTTCATATTTATTTAATATAAACTGGGAATTATTAATGTTATGTGCATACATGTATATCTTAGACAGTAGTATATTGATATATTGAGACTTATATTTTCTGCATTTAAAGAGATACAGTTATGTCATTATTATTAAAGGGATGAGACTTTCATTTAAAGTTATAAATGATAAAACATGTATTGATTGAAAATGTCCTTAAACTTGGATCAAGCAATGTAATTAATAAAGTCTCAAAAAATCATATTCTGAATAGTTATTCTATTTTTTTTCTAACATGTGCATAGTTTGAAAAAAACAGCTTCGGTCTTATCTATTTGTAATGAAGAGACACCGGTCTCAACCTCCAGGTCTCCTGCATCAACCCGACAACAGACTGTACATAGAGTAGATTGTTACTTGCCCTTGAATAAATTTGTGCACTAAATTTATAGTGGGTGATTTGTGCCACATGAAAACCAACATAGTATAAAAAGTAACTGGGCGCCAGATGAAAACATGAAAATACAATCTACCACAAAGTGGTTTGTTTGTTGCATTTTTCATGTTTTTGCCCGGTGCCCTTGATGCAAAATACAAATCAGCCTTCGTAAAATTTCTTATGTTGGTCACAGGTTTGAGTTCTGGTCAAGCTCAAAGTTTTTCTCATCCTGTGACTGCATATAAGCATGAGTTCAATTTCCTATGCTCTGTAACATAAGAAATTCACGAACACAAATCGATATAGTGGGGAAATATGTTGTGGTTTAGAACTGTTTCATTATTAAAGAGAAAATGTGTAGCAGGCCGGATAGCTCAGTTGGTCTTCTGAAAGTCATGGGTTCGAGTCATGGTCAGGCAGTTTCAGTCAGGGTTTAGAAGTGGTTTTTCAACTGACACATGTTTGATTCATTTAACAGATTGCATTATTTGAAATGGACAAAGGCAGTATTGCATGATACTTTTAGATCTACAAAGGGCATTTGATACAGTTGAACACACTATACTGCACATCTGGGATGAAGAAGTTGTTTTTCTTCTTCTTCATGAAACTTCAAGCATTTGCCATATATAATGACATTCTTACATGGTTTAAGTCTTATCTCTGATAGTAGCTGGTTGATGTGGCTGGTACTCATTCTACTACTGCTCTGGGAGTACCTATGCTGTCCCCCTGATGTTCATTTTAGGTCCTCTTTTATGTCTAATATATGTCAATTACATGTCTTCAACCCTAAGCAATAAGCTTTTATTATAATGCACAGGCACGAGTATCAGACCTTGGAAGAAAAAATATGGCCAGATTGATAAAAAAACCTGTGTTCATCTTAAAAGTGTCAACAACCAAAATAAAATGTAAATAATGACCCCCTTTAAAAATATACTTCAAGTTGATAGTATATTTTTAAAGGGGATCATTATTTACATTTTTTGTTTTGGTTTTTATAAACACAGTTTTTTTATCAATCTGGTCATCTGGTCATATTTTTTCTTCCCAGGTCCGATACTCGTGCCAGTGATTATATGCTGATGACTCAGGAATCCTTGTGTCTCATAAATAAATCTGAAGAAATTCTTTCTTATAGCATAAGTCTTATAAGATTGCTTAATTGACTATAAATTGTCTTTGCATCTTGGCAAGACAGAGTCTATTCGTCTTTGGTTTAAGTTTCAACTTAAACTGGCCCTAGCCTCCAGGTCACATGTAATGGTACTGCTATAAAGTACACATCTTTTGTTAAGTATTTAGGTGCAAATCTGGATCAAATTCTTTTGGCGTCGCCCTTTGATGCTTTGCATCAATGATTTTCTTGTATAGCTAATGAAATACTGTTGCGTGGTCCATAATCATTGCTACAAATGTACGCAAAATCGACGGAAAAAAGTATGTGATAACAATCAAAATATAAAAGACTGTTTATTCCAATGTTACATGTGTCAACTATGATTGAAATTATGAAACGAATTTAAGAATATCGAAAGGAACGAAAGAAAAACAACTAAAAAGCAGCCGTTGCCATATGACGAACATATTTTAGCAGAAAACAATGTACTGTAACGATTAAGCGATTTCAATTTAAAATGAATATAAGAAACATGGCAATCAATTAGTTTTAAGTTACAGCGGACCATCTTTTAATACATATCCGGTTTTTATGGTAGTCACCATGACCGTGACCTTTGGCTACAAAACGGGCCTTTCCGCCAGCCTCCGGATTAGTGACAATAGCCGATGTGTTCCCATTGATCAAAGGGGTCAAGAGAGCAGCTTTCTACCAAAGGGCCAAATCAGTCTCTGGTTATCGGCCAGACAAGTCCTTATGGGTAAGCTCAATACTGGTCATTTAACCGACTGACCCTAAAAAAGGCAATGAGCTATCTATAAACTATGAGCAATCTAAATTGTTAAATTTGTAGGATTGTATATAAGATTAATCTGGACACATTCATGTGTTTAAAAATAAAAATCACGTTTGGGTTTTAACTCCCCTGAAGTCGGGCTAAGTTAACTTACCTGAACTCGGGGTTCAATTAACTCCCCTGAAATCGGGTTCAGTTAACTCCCCTGAAGTCGGGGTTCAGTTAACTCCCCTGAAGTCGGGGTTCATTTAAGTCCCATGAAGTCGGGTTCAGTTTACCCCCTTGAAGTCGGGTTCAGTTAAATCCCCTGAAGTCGGGGTTCAGTTAACTCCCCTGAAGTTTGGGTTCAGTTAATTCCCCTGAAGTCGGGGTTCATTAAAGTCCCATGAAGTCGGGTTCAGTTTACCCCCTTGAAGTCGGGTTCAGTTAACTCCCCTGAAGTAGGGGTTCAGTTAACTCCCCTGAAGTCGGGGTTCATTTAAGTCCCATGAAGTCGGGTTCAGTTTACCCCCTTGAAGTCGGGTTCAGTTAACTCCCCTGAAGTCGGGGTTTAGTTAACTCCCCTGAAGTCGGGGTTCATTTAAGTCCCATGAAGTCGGGTTCAGTTAACCCCCTTGAAGTCGGGGTTCAGTTAACTCCCCTGAAGTCGGGTTCAGTTAACTCCCCTGAAGTCGGGGTTCAGTTAACTCCCCTGAAGTCGGGGTATAGTTAACTCCCCTGAAGTCGCGGTTCAGTTAACTCCCTTGTAGTCGGGTTCAGTTAACACCCTTGTAGTCGGGTTCAGTTAACTCCCTTGTAGTCGGGTTCAGTTAACTCCCTTGAAGTCGGGTTCAGTTAACTCCCCTGAAGTCGGGTTCAGTTAACTCCCCTGAAGTCGGGGTTCAGTTAACTCCTCTGAAGTCGGGGTTCATTTAACTCCCATGAAGTCGGGTTCAGTTAACCCCCTTGAAGTCGGGTTCAGCTAACTCCCCTGAAGTCGGGGTTCAGTTAACTTCCATGAAGTCGGGGTTCAGTTAACTTCCTTGAAGTCGGGTTCAGTTAACTCCTCTGAAGTCGGGGTTCAGTTAACTCCCCTGAAGTCGGGTTTTGTTAAATCTCCTTAAGTCGGGTTCAGTTAACTCTCCTGAAGTTTTGTATTTGTACATATATACGAGATGAAACCGTTTTAACTCAAATTGGAACTTAATGACGCTGCAAGAATAACTTGCAGCCAGATAGAAAGGTTACATGACACAAAATACAGAAAGAATGAATAAGCTATTGTTGACGATCTTAAACATGTTCAAAGAAATTGCGAAACTCAAATTTTTAGCCATTTCATAATCAAATACATTTCTAATCAATAAATATATATCTTCAGTATTTTTGTTGTTGTTTTTTTTAAAGAAAATTAACTTAATGCAGTTTAAACTGGATGTAATTATACGTTTATGCAACATGTATGTAATATCGACCGCTTTCAGTGCACCAGTGTAACGCTACATGCGCGGCGCGCGATTTAATTTCTTCTGAACTGTCGTCTGCAACCAATATAAAAATATATGTAACATAATGTAGGCCTATATACATGTGGAAAGAAATATTTGAGCGTCACGAGATACTAAAACATGATGAAATTTGCTCAATTGACGAAATAAATGACGAAATTAGCACGGTGGTGTGATTACGCTTCCGCGTCACGCCATATCTTGTACATGTATACATGCTTATTGCGTTATCTCGGCTTATTGATGACCTGACCTGATTTTTAAAGACTTTTTGGTGGGAACGACAATAGATACATGTAATCATAGGTGGACAACAAAGTTATTTATATCTGGCGTCATATATAAAGGTACTCCATCCATTACAAGTTTGCATAAACCCGTCAACTCAGTTACATTCCGCACCTCAATAGCAACTTTTCGGCCCGTTCCGTCAAAATCTTCGGATTTTGAAATTATGTATAATCGGCTAGGTGTTCCAAATGCACCTTTAAACATGTATTTGTAATGATGCTAGTCACATTGATTTGACCTAAAATATGTTTAATCTTGTTAACTTATATCAATATATTAAAATTAATCGGATTTTTTGTTACATAGTCAGGTTAAATATAACAATACATGTGTATAACAAAAAAATATCAGATTTATTTTAAATATATTGATATAATATTGCATGTATAACAAGATTAAAACATATTTTAGGTCAAATCGATGCAACTATAGCACCTGTGGACTTAAAAGAGCTATTGTTGTCAGGTAAATCGATTCGCTTCCTCTTAATTAAGTAGATTTAAAATAGAAGTTAAAAAACCCCCGAAAGGATGACATACGGAGCTTTATAGAAGGTGTCACTGTAAAACCTTTGATATAGATGTATATAGATCCGTATAATTTGAGTAAAGTCTGTATTTATTTTAAGCTAGGTAATCAACTATAGCTTTTTAAAGTATTACTGTCAAATGTACCAGTGGTCAGTGATTTACCGAATGATCCAAAATTCCACTTATATGTATCAACTTCCCCGCCGGGTTTATATTTGAGCCGACGAAAGACCGGTCAAGGCAAGAGGCTCGAACTTAAGACCAAACGCTATATAGAACTGTATTCTTAGCCAATTAAGTTAACATATCGGATACTTGACGGATGTTTATTTTTTTTCCTAACAATACAACAAAATCAAACATACCTTAACTTTTTGATCTGGAAATCGGCCTCGCTTATTTCAGACCACACTCCACCAATCGAATCTCGGCACATGTTAAAACCCAGCCTCTGGGTTTCTGTAGAAATTGAATCGTCATCCATCAGCGTTGTTTTTACGCTCCTCGGCTTCGTAAATAGCAGACGTTTTAGAATTTTACTGACTTCAGATAACAATTTAGGGGACACCAGATAACGTTTTTGCATCACCATTATTTTATCAAACTTGACCAACAATATTGAGATAAGCTTCCATCTTCGTGAAGGAAACATCGTTCCTATTATCTATATATATTTATCAGTAATTATTAGTAACACTTATATGAAGTACAAAGTCCCTATGTAATCTCCAGTATATAGTAAATATGATTCAGTGTGTGTTTATGTCTCAAGTGTCAAACACCAAAGTCACATCTTCGCAACACGTATCGATCTTATGACACTAGAAGCTGCGACGCTGTACGTACTGTATATATGAATATTCTAATCGATATTTTGTATTTACCGAGGATATGGAAAACCCCGTATGTTGTCAAATACGCAACACAATCGACCAATCAGCTTTTGTTATATCTACATTTGTGTCAAGTATATGATGAGATATTCAACTGAGTAATTAATGTACATGCTATATATTTATATCAGTAACCGAATTACACGGAGATCAAAGTGTCACTTCTAAAAATAGAATGATAAACAATAACAACATCAAGTGAACAATATAACTTATGGTTAACAGTTCATTTAAATTCCGATGAAAACAGTGTACAAATGTTAACCATTAACGATAAAATCCGGAAATTTCTAGTTCTTGAAATTATTGTGCCTATGACTCATTCGCACGTGTGAGTGTTTGAGGACATTTATAGGGTGATAATTTCAGTGCCTAATAAATATACATGTATTTTTACTACCCTGTTTCGTAAAAATATTCCAAACAATGTGCTTTATTTTGACAAAAATAATGATAATAATAAACAACGAGAAAGAAAAACCTTGAAACATTTGATTGTTGTACAAAACTGACGCTGCGAAATGGATTGTTATAATATTTTCTTTCAACAAAATCCGGTATAAACCGCTCTTCGCCAGTCAAAACTGCCAGCAGATGTATAGTGACCTAGTTCAGCAATCTGCCAATATTATATTATCCATTCAATCCTAAATTGCACCAAAACCTGGCTAATAAGACCGACATAGTTGATATATTTATAACGTTAACCCCTTAAATAAATATTACATGTAAATATAGTATGAGTACTGTGTACATGTTTGTGCATAATCAATTAATGGTTTGAGGCATTTGATCAACAGTTTAAAATGCCACCAGTTTAATAATACATGTGTAATGCTTAACTATGTATGCATTACCATATGTCGACCAACAGTTCCATATAATCAATCAATCACAATCAATCAATCAATGAAATGAATAGATAAAATCAGTCAATCAATAAATAAATAAATAAACAAAATATTTTTTTATAAAAAAAACTTTGAAAAAAAAAGACCTAAAAATTTATCACTAAAATGATTTAAATATAGTTTTGAAAATATCTGTGTATTCCCTTCAAACCAGGGTCTTTCAAATTCTATTTGTACAGTCATTTCAGGAATGCTAAAACAAACAAGAGTACTGTTAAAAGCAATACAGTTTTCATGATAAATACGATCAATTCATAAATTACAAGGCAATTCTGTGGCATACTTAAATTGTATCATAATAAAATAATATTTATTTAAATTTTCATCACTCGACCACTTATAATTGCTTACCGGCAGCGACACACCTGATATTTAGGTGCTTGGATTTACCAAGTAGAAGAGTATAAGTATAATAAACATATGTTGTTATTGATTATACCAAACCATTATCTGCGTACATTTAAATGCGTACATTTCCATGGCATTGTAACAAAAAGACGGAAGCCCTCATTCGGTTAGTGACCTTTCTAAACAGTAATTCTCTTCAAATTTGTTTTGTATGGTGACTGAAAAGCGCCATGACGTAATTTCGCTTATTCAGTGTAGTGTACCATACATGTAGTTTTAGCGCTGCCGATTAAAATCCTATCATTTGATAGAACAGCAGAAATGGCCATTATGCCCCAGAAATGGTTTTATTTTTATGTCTCAAAAGCTTATCATGTTTGGTGCCCCGATTTTGTTTTCAAATGTTATTCATTGGCCAATCATCTGAGCTGCTACCTTTTTTTCGGTTATAGTGATTTAAAATAGTGTAATTGTGTGGAAGTCAAAATACTATATACTTTTGTTTACACTTTGATACCATTATTACAAATAATTTACATACAGCACCAATCTTCAACAGTTGAAAAGTACCTCACGTGCTCTAAAACCGTTATTTAAATGTTAAAAATACATGTGTGCCCTTTTCAAAGATTGAAAAAAAAAATACCGAGGCAAAATGTGCCTTTAAAGAAACCGCTTTCCAAAATGCAATTTCAATTTGAAAACTATAATTCAAAATGTTATCTGATATATATAATCACAGCCGTCAACCTTTCCCTTTTGAACAATATGGGCGACTTGTTATTTTTGTATTTTTATAAACAGAAATCTACTCTGCTCTTTTTTTAGAATTTTGAATGAAAATTTTCATATCCTGTTTACCGCAATGTTAAAACATAATCATAACTATTTTGGCAATGAAGTTTGACATTTTATCAATGTGATTTTAGTCTTGATTGAATCAAATAAACAAGCGTTCTTTTTATACATATTGATTATGACGTCAGCAGTTATTTTAATTACAGTTACATATATTAATTACAATTACATATTTTAATTACAATTACATATTTTTATTGAAAACTGCAGTTATACAATAAAGTTACGCACAATTTTGCGTCTAATAAACGTAACGTCAAAATGACTTGTGTTTAAGGACGTTTTCGGGAGTTTTCATATAGACATATAGGCAAAATAAAAACTGTTAAATAGAATTTCTTTAAACTTGGCATGTTTTTAGTTAGAATGTAATAACAGAAACATTCTAAGCGAAAAAAAGTGGGGTCACCGTTCTCGTTTTTGAGTTTACAATATAACTAAAATGGCCTGTCCCTTAAAATATGTAAATATATAATTTTTGTTTACCAATTGTGAAAGTCAGGTCATCATGTAAACCCTCGAGGCATCTTGTTCATTATCTTTCTTTTAAAAGTCCCTTATATATTATATATAAATATATAATAATTTAATCAAAAATTGTAACGTTGTACTTCAATCCCCACACCCCACTCGTCCCTCCCCCGTTGACTTACGTCGTAATTTGACGTGGGGTTCATTTCAAAATGGCGGCACCCGTAAGTTTGTTTAACATAACAAATTAAGTAGGTTTACATTTGAAATTGAACAGATTACAGATCTATATTTCACATTTGTTCGACATTAATTTCCTTTTCAAATCTAATTAATAGCTTTTAACGAGTCGGTATCACGCAAAGTAATCAAACTTTTTATTTCCTTACTATGAAAAGTTTTAAGCTGACTTGCATACATGTACAAAGATAATGATATGGTTACTAGAATATTTCAAAAATTATAACTGTTTTATCGCATGATAAACAGAAATAAGAATTTCAATGTTAATTGACATTAAATTTATATTTTGCTTCCCTTAATAAATTAAATTCCTTTTCAGTGACACTTGTGTACTTGTCTACGGTCACGGTTATACACGAACCAAGTGTACTTACATAACTGTGCTTTATTTGAAATAACGCACACCTTTTCTTTCGTCTAAAAGAAGCAATTAAAATGTAAACAAAGTAACGTTAGTATTTTGTTCCATACAAAATACTTTACCGCTATAAATGTGCTAATTCCCAGAATAAACAGAAGCAACATTTGATTAAGGAAATTGGCAATTTAGTAACTTTTTACAAAACTATAACAGGAAACCAACTATAAAAAAAGCTTTAGAGAAATAAGAATTAAAGCTTTTTGTGGACATAATGGTGTTTTAAACTGAGTGCACTTAATTGAACTACGAGTACTAGGTACAAGATAATCGATATCATATGCATTTGTATACAGGCTAATATGATGCAATTGTATGTTGCAACAGATCTAGATCTACATATATTATAATTGTTCAAAATTGTTTCAAAATATTTTTCATATTAGTTTCGCGTATATCTAATAGATCTAGTGACGTGTATATAGTTTTATATACGTGTACGCAGGTACGTTTATATAAGAGGATGTTTGCTGTATTATAATTTCGCTATAAATATTTCTGACTGGTTATATGGCTGAATATAAACGGTTGAACTTGTAGGCAAAATATCCATTGCCTAGCGGTCCGGATTATTTTTCCAAATAGCCGTTTATATAAGGTCAAATAACCGGTAAAAAATCTTTTTATAACTAATAATATATTCCGACACTAGATATTAATGTTGACTTGACTTTGAAACAGTATTCAAATGCATATGCATCAGTCGCCAATCCAGATATTTTACAGCTGTAAAAATTTATTCGCTGTGCCACGCCCCCTTATACAATATTTCACTCTCAGTCAATTATTTACTAATTAAGATGTCTGTACAGTCAGTCAACATCAAGTATTTATCCAGCTTGTTCATAAATGTAATCCAAATAAATTGAAAATGAAAAACGCACTTTCTTCCTGCTGAAACGTAACTCCGAATAAAACTGATCGTAAAAATGGCGTATTTGTAACTAAGGGAGGTAACTATTAAGACATTTATCACATAAGTACGGAAGCAAGTTTGGGCCACTTTTGAAATTTATGCAATACAGTTTGAATGGAATAAAAATGCACTTATATAATAGAAATTATTACTTAAAAACAAGGTTGGGGGATTCATCTTACTTTGTCAATGTTGACCAGAGCGACCAAAGTCAGTTAATAAAAAAATTACTATATGGGCCTACATGTTCATGTATTCGTTTAATTGTTCACCTTGCTATCGGTGTTTTGTTTCGCCAAACACTAATAATACCAAATTCTATTATTCAATTCACTGTTGAATATTACATTGTTTAAACGCTGTTTTAAATTGAAATTTAAATGTCAGACAACTATCCGTGACAAAGTTTTGTTTTGAAAATCACATACCCATAAAATTTCATATACGTTTTAATACCTTGTCACAATGTGGAATATAATGCGTTTGTCATTTAACAAAAAAATATACTTAAACATTTTTAACGGATACTTATATTTATTGTGATAGTGTAATTTAAACAGCAATATTTCTTTATCAAGTTACGAATGGAATATGTAAAAGTTAAAAGAACATAATTATACTGAGATATCGGAACTTAAACAGCAAATCTAAATAAAACAGACTGTTACTGTTATTCCTCGAAGGGGAAAATTTATTTTTAAAAAGGGATTTCCCTCTAAGCGCTTTTTAAAATTTGGGGGGAAAAAAATGCACGGGGACAAAATTTAAAACCCCCCAAATTTTGGGGGGGCCCGGACAAGCGGCAAAATGACCAGGAAGAAATCAAGCGTGTCGACATAGACGATATTTTGAAATGTCCACTTTGTCTCGATACCTTCGAAACCCCAAGAGCTTTAGCATGTTTACATACCTTCTGTGAACCCTGTCTGGAATTTTATTTTACGGATTGCAAGGCGTCTATAAAAGACGGAAAATTGGATAAAATAGAGTGTCCGGTATGCGGTCACCTTACCGTCCCGCAGGATGTCTTAAAGCATCCTCACGCAATGGTAAAGGATTTACCTCTGAATCATTTCATTTTACCTCATTTGGAGGGAATTACACCAAGAGAACCAAGAGAAAGAAATAGCCGTGCTAGCCGAGCAAGTCGAGTAGACTCTAGGCAGAAGAAAACTGTGAATTTTACCCAGAGTTGTGGTTCTTGTGGCGAAAGGGGCATGCTCATTGAGGCAACTTCATACTGCCATGATTGCGGGGATTTCCAATGCGGAGAATGTACAGAAAACCACTCAAAAATAAAAATGCTTACGCGCCATAATGTAGTCTCAATTGAAAAAGTAACAAGTGCGTCGCCAATCACAAACTCCTTTGACAAGCATTATATATGCTTGGTACACCAGAACGAGGATGTGCGATTCTTTTGCGCGAATCATGACGTTATTTTGTGTAGCAGTTGCGCAGTGGCAAGTCACAAAGCTTGTGAACTTGTCAATGAGTTTGAGGAACTTGGGATGCATCTTAGACACGATGATCAAACGGATAAACTTAGAAATAACATGAAGGGTTTACAAACAGCTTTAAACGACATGGTAGAAGCTATTAGAACCAATAATTACGGGATAAAGCGCGAAACCGAAGAAATTCCGCGAAGAATTGAGTCATTGAAAGCAAAGGTTCTTCGAATGTTCGACTACTTAGAAGAAGAAACTGCACTTAAAATTCAGGAATTTCAAAAAGAACAGGAGAAGAAGAATGCTGATAAGGCGTTCAAATGCAAGCAACTTCTTGTAGCAATTGAAGGCTCTAGCGCCTCTCTGGATACGGTTATTGAACATGGTTCAAACTCGCAACTCTTTTTGACATTTCAAAAGATCAAAAACCAATTACAAGAGTATGATAACTTGGTAAAAGAGGAGAAAGATTCCTTAACATGTAGTTCCCTAAAGTTGAAAGTCGTGGACGCGCTTGAAACAATTGTCAACACAACAGAACAATTAGGAGAAGTGTTTGTAGAGAGTGTTAAACCCGATCTCGCTGACCTTCCGCCATTGCTGTTCGTAAAGAAGGAGGAACCGGTCGCTGATAGGAAACCCGAATTTATAAAATCAGGAAAATTGAAAATGAGCGATGTAAATATTGTTAAAAGTTGTATTGCCGTTACATACATGGATAAAAAGCTGGCCCTCGTGTTCGAGGTGAATAATAGGGCCTGGTTCTCGTATACGTTTTCGCTCATTAGCACAGATAAACTAGAAGAAATTTACACGCAGGATCTGAAACGGGACCCAAAGAACATAATTTGTATAGACAGTAACAACGTGGCGATTACATTCCCAAACGGTGGGTTCATTGAATTCTATCTTTATACACCGAAGCGGAAGAAGAAACCTTTGAACTTTGTACTAGATCACACGATTAAATGTGATATTAGGGATACTGTGATCACAAAATATAATAAAACCATGTTCGGAGTAAGTACGGGCAACTATTTTTTGCGACCTTTTACCCCACGAAAGGGGTCATGAAAAAAGGGTTTTTTTTATTAAAAGCTTTAAACTTTTCGTTCTCAGAAACCCCAAATTTTTGGGGACAACCCAACCTTTAAGTCCGCATGTGGCTGTAGACTTTAAAAGAAAGAGAATCTACGTTGTGTCATCTAAACCGAACAAACTTTACTCTTTCAGTACAAAGGGAGAAGTGATATTTGAATACAACTTGGACAAAAACGTGAAGTGTGTTGATATCGATAAAGAGGGCGCTATAGGCATATGTTCCGGAAATGAAAGTAGTGGAAAACTGTTTCAGATTTCAGCAAATACTGGTAAAATCTTACGAAACGTTGCCATAGAAACTAAAAACCCGAGCAAAGCATTTTTCAATAAAAAATCGGGCGACTTTTATGTGATTGAAAGTTCTCAAAACTTGACCACAATTGAAAAATACAGGTTTAATATACAGGACGATGAAGATTTGTTTGACGATGATTAAGCGGCGGTTACAATATGTTCGTGACTGTGGTTTCCGCTACATTGTATTTAAGAAAACAACAACAACAACAACAACAATTTTTCGTGGTTTCCCGCCATTTAAAAAGGTTCGGGAACATGGGGTATATCATTTTTAGGTTATACAACCTCTGCAGAGGGACACCCTTTTTTGGTTTAAAAAAACCTTGGTTGCTTTTGAATAGGTTGGCCCAATTTAAAATTTATCGCTGAAGTCTTATTTAAATGGGGTAGTTACCCCTGAAAACCCCCCTAGGCACATTTTCATAAAATTTTTTTTCCCAAATTTCCCAAAAAACCAATAACGGTTTTTAAAAAACAAAATAGAAAATGGTTTTTATTTTAAAAATCTTATGAAAAAATTGCTTTTAAATGAAAAAAAAAAACTGTAAAATTCTAAATGATTAAACACGGATTTATATTTTCAATTTAAAAAACTATTAATTTTTTAATATAAATCCGTGAAAATTAGATGAACATTTATATGAAAAAATTGAATGTTTAGGGTATATAAACCCGGCTTTAAAAATAAACCGACCGTAGGGAGGGTTAATTTTAAACAGCCCTTATAAAAAGTTTTCCTTAAAAATCCTTTTATAAAATTTTAAAATAAAGATTGTTTCAGGTTTTTATGGCCCTATAAACGGTGTTTAATATAAACCCCCGCCTTACGGGGTAGGGTTTTTTCAAAATACCCTTTATATAGGCCCTAAACCCGTCAAAATCTTTTTAAAATTTTAAATAAAAAATATAAATATATGAAATATACCATTTGCCAACAACTTATATAACAATGTATATTTTTCGTGTTTTTGTTAGTCTAATACTAAGTACTATAAAGTAATTTTTTCATTTTATCACAGACCTTCATTATAACCCAAATTTCCCTTTTTGGAGAATTTATACTGTTATTAAAATAACATATAAATTGCTCTTACTGGCGTTTAAAATGTGTAGGTTTTTAAAAAAGTACAACTGTTTGGAGGAATTAAAACCCCACAATTTTTTTAGAAATAAAAAAATCAGAGATTTTATCTTTTTGCCTTAAAAGGAACTCCACTGAGGTTTATAAGCCTAAAAACATAAAAATTTTAATTTTTCACATAGATAAACATGAGCACGTAAAACAGAAATATAAATAAAATATAAACAAAGAAATATACAAGAAATACATTGAAAATCATATGTTTTTGTGCTTTTTCTCAGTCCGATTTTGAGTGAAAAGCGTTTAAACGCTTATTCAATTTTGTGTCATTTTTCACTTATTATAATAATTATTCTGAAAAAAAAAACGAAGGAAGCTAATGATTCTGAAATTTTGCACATACCTTATTAGTATAGATCTACATCAAATGAGTAATAATCTCAAAACAATTATTTCCAGTCCAGTCATGTCAAAAAAACCTCAGTGGTGTCCCTTTTAAAAAACCTAATACATGCATATTGATATAATGTTAAATACCATTCAAAGGCCCTTAAGCTTACAACATCTCCAGTTTCATCTTCTGCTTCACTTTCAAACATACTTTACGTTTAATATGGCAACGTTATAAAATATACATAATTGCAAGCCACAAATAACGAATGCAGTCAACTAAATCCTTTTGAAACCAGTCATGCTATACTATTCTTTCATTCATTTTCTTACATCATAAACTACTGATCTGTACCGGTATTTAGGTACTGAATGCATGAAAGATCTAAAATTAGATCAAGTTACATGTATATGTATGTGCACCTAATACCTTATTTTGAAGTGGAACATGTAAATAGATTATACGTATTACGTAATACTAGAGTAATCGTTGTATGGATTTATAGTTTTCTAAACGAAACTCTTAATTACAGTTTTGTTTATATATATGCGCATTAATGCATGTCCCGTATGAACAACTTTCTATTATTTTTTGTTATGGTATATGAACTGTTTAAATTACTATATATTTCTTGAAAGAAAAAGCGCTAAGCGGCCTGACAGTTTCTGAAGTTCTGGGTTCGAGTCCCGCTCAGACTGCACTTTTTTCACCAATTAAAAGTAATGTCTTTATCATTTTATTGGTTACCAGTCATTTTGTAACCACAACCCAAATCTACGGAAATATCAAGGACTTTAACGTTGTGGATTTTCCAAATTAGTGATAGAGACTCGATCAGCCCTACATGCAGGGACAGCAGTGTAGTAAAGTCCTAAAAAATGCCCTCGGTCAGTTTGGAGCCAAACCAAACTTATCACAATGACTCAGCCATAAGGGAAAAGGCTTGGCTCATTCAGCCTGCCCCGCCCCCAACCCTGCGTCCCTCTCCCCGCCCTCTATCACCTTGTCTTTTCAGACTGGCGCATTTATCCTCGCAATTGATTTGCAAAATATGATAGCCCTTATTTTAACAACAGGATTTTTTGACAATGTCTTAATTCTAGTTCATTGTACACGTTAGCTTTTATTTGTCCGGAATTCGCAAAAACGTTTCTCATATCATACATAAACTAGTGTAACGATAGCAAGGAAAGATAACTATTTCATACAATTTATTGTGTTACCTCGCTTTAACTGAACCATTATGCATTGCATGTGCTGCACTCTCTCATAGCAACATGTGTTGAAATATTACAGGTAAAATATCAAAATAGTTTGAATCTGTCTGTCATTGTTAACTTAATAAATTATATTTTATGTTTAATGATACTAACAAGAAACAACATTGTACATGTACCATGAACTTTGATAAAGGCCACTGTTTTCTCAAATGACATATAGTTTTCATTATCATCACCACCGCCATCATCATCATCATCGTCATCATCATCACCATCATCATCACCACCACCACCACAATCATCATCATGTATTTTCCAACAGTCTTCTCAACGAAAATTTAAGTGTCTCCTCAACGAAAAGTTGTACAAGTTGTTTTTTCTGTATCCATTTTCCTAGTTTTCTATTGTAACTAAAAAGTAAAGTTTGAAACTGCCAAAGGATTTCATATGACTTTATTAGCAATCGACCAGAACTTATTACTCGAATTCTTTTAGGGTATTTGTGGACATGTTAAGGATGTATACATAGTATTTTCATCGTCTTAGGATTACCTCCCGTCGACCATTTTCATAGCTTCGAACAACAAAAGAGTTATAACGTCCCTTAAGTGCTTTGCTTTCTCAACAATAGCACATTTACGTGTACATGTCTGCCCGTTGTTGTTATACTTTATTTGAAATGTTACATCTATGGAAACGACGAAAACATTGACGTTTTAAATGATAACAAACATAATTGTACACATTTATTTAACACGAAATACGGCCGCTGTCCAGTAATGATCTGCTAACCAACATGCATCTTAGATCTCAAACATATATATTTCAGTAATAGCAAAGGAGTAGGTTAGACGGCTTGAACGACATGCCTTTTGCTAGCACCAACAGCCCTTTTCAGAGCTACCCTTTCATATTGTCTCAGGTTACTGTACATTTAGGTTCTCATTGACCGCCGTACAGTGACCTACTTCTGCCTCAAAATTCATATCTGTGGCTAATACTCCGTGGGAATTGCATGGAGATAGATTATCACCACTTTGTGCTTCAAAATTAACTCTTTAAGGGCATGACTGGTGACATGTCCGGGGTCCGTACTCGACAGCGAAAGCTGCATTTTGTGCCCGAAAGGGCGGATGGACCCTCATTAAGCATTAACTACATACATACGGAATAGGTACTCCGTGGATTGCATGGAGGTAAATTATTACCACTTTGTGCTTCAAAATTAACTCTTTAAGGGCATGACTGGTGACATGTCCGGGGTCCGTACTCGACAGCGAAAGCTGCATTTTGTGCCCGAAAGGGCGGATGGACCCTCATTAAGCATTAACTACAAACATACGGAATAGGTACTCCGTGGATTGCATGGAGGTAAATTATTACCACTTTGTGCTTCAAAATTAACTCTTTAAGGGCATGACTGGTGACATGTCCGGGGTCCGTACTCGACAACGAAAGCTGCATTTTGTGCCCGAAAGGGCGGATCTCATTAAGCATTAACTACAGACAGGAATAGCAAAGGAAGTAGGCCAATGATCCTTTATTTTAGGCAGCAACACATTCTTTAGCTAAGCAACATAATGCACACAATGGTCTCATTAGCCTCCCGTGTATTATTTCATTAATAAAATCTAAAACATTTGCATTTAATTCCATTCAAATATGTCACCACTTTAGATTATAACATACTTTAAGGGCATGACTGGTGACATGTCCGGGGTCTCTACTCGATAGCGAGAGCTGCTTTTTGTGCTCTTACGGGCGGATGGACCTCATTAAACATATACTATAGATAGGAAGTAGGCCAAGCCAGCCCGCATAGCTCAATCGGTTAGAGCGCGAGACTTGTTATCTCGACATTGTGGGTTCGATCCCCGGGCTGGCCATCTAAAATTACTAATCAGTCTTTCGGATGAGACTTTAAATCGAGGTTCCGTGTATGATTACTTCAACAACTGGCACGCTAAAGAACCAGGAGAAGCTT